CCACTGGTCTACACCCCAGTTCTTGTATGCATAAAAAATAAAATTAAATTAAATCTTAAAAATAAGTAAATAAATAACACCTGTACCAGAGAAACCAAGCAAGCCACACTCCAGCATCTGAAATAGAACCTACATCCTCTTACAGATTTTGTTTTATGCCTAGGTTTGTGGTCATTTGTGATGCTGCATTAAAATAATACTCTCCAAAATAAAGCCACTGGTATGATGCCAGCAACATGTAGCAAAGTATAAAGTGGTAATTAATAAAGAATCCCTGCAATATAGATTATGAAATATTCACATATTCTGAAATTCACGTGTTATCTGTTATTAGGTGAAAATATTTAGGAATCTTATGTCCTCTTGATGAATTCTCTGAGTTTATGAAATGATCCTCTGTATTCTAAGTATTTTTTGTTCTATTTGCTGATATCCGTATAGCCTTTGAGTTATGTTAACATAGGTTAATCTATTTTGCTTTTAGAACATTCAAGTCTTTATAATTTCAGTAAGTTTTCTATAGGTAGCCTATAGTTGAGTCCAATATGAAAATCTCAGTCTTTTTACTGGGAAAATCTTTTTATTGGCATGATTATATCATTTCACATTAAGCATTGATTACTGAAGTGACTGCTCCAATTGATCACTTTACCATTAATTAACTGCCCCATCCATTCTGTATCCCTCTTTCTCTTGTTCTGCCTTCTTTGGGATTAACTGCTAAATAGTTAATTTTATCTACTTTATTAGCTTATCTGCTATGACTCTGTGTGTGGATGTAGATTTCCTCATGTTTCTTGTGCTACAGATTCATTGATATTCTTACCTATGTGGATTTAGTTTTTTAATCAAATTTGGAAAAACTGTGACCCTTAAAAATTTTGGCCATTTCTCTCCCCCTCCTTCCAAGGATCCAGTTATAGAAACATTCTGTCACATGGTTCACTGATGCTCAGTTCATTTTGTTTCACTCATTCTTCTGCGTTCTTTGAGTACATTTCATTGCTTATCCTCGAATACACCAATTTTTACTTTTACAATGTCTAATCTGATATAATCCTATTCAGTAGTATTTTTCATCTCGGAATTTTTTTTTTAATCTCTGTAAATTCTAACTGGGTCTTCTTTATATTTTTATAACTCTACTTAATATGCTCAAAAGTTCATTTAGTTTTTAAAATATATGGGATGTATCTATTGTAATTGTTACCCTATCCTTGTGTATTTCTAACATCTATTTCATTTCAAAGTTGGTTTCACTTTCTCACCCCCAGTAGGGATGCCTCTCTGCATGCATGCTAATCTTTTATTGGTGATCAGACACTGTAAATTTTAAATATTGTATTTGGGGTGCTAGATATTTTTGTATCCCTACAAATATTCTTCAGTTTTTTTTTTTTCTGGAATTTCTTAACTGAAAAGAGTTTGATCCCTCTGGCCATGTCAGAATTAATGCAGCAGTCAATATAGAGCTAATTTTGCCACATAAATAAAGTGAAATTCTTCTGATTATTCTGCATGATACCCGAAAGAGGTTTTCCACTGCAGACAATGGGAGTAATTCCCAGCCTTCTGTGTTATTTGATGAATGTTCCTTTCATTCCTTTCAAACACTTCTTTCTGTAGCTGCAAGTCTCTCTCTACAAAGATGAACTGATTTTTTTAGCTGAATACTCAAGTTTTTCCATTTCCTCTACATGTTGGTCTTCTTTCATATCTACCCAGAAAATCTAGTTGTTTTGGTCTCCCCAGAGTTTGAACTAAGGGTTCATATTAGAAAGAAATTACCAGGTCAATTATCTAAGCTCTCAGGTGGTGTAACTAGGGGAGCAAGTTAAGTTATGCATAAGCAAAAAATAAGGAAAATTTAAGAGCAGAAATTATTGAAATATAGAATCAGAGAAAAAGCAATATACACACAAAGATGTGAAAGGATCAGTGAAATCTGACAAACCAGACTGATCGAAAGAGAAAACACAAATTATCAGTGTTTAGAATTAAAAAGAGGATATCACTAAAAATCATAATGAGTAAAAGGATAGTAATATTACAATACTTTCATATTAATAACATCTTAGATGAAATAAAAAAATTCTTTAAAAGACAAAACTACCAAACTCACTTAAGAAAACTAGCAAGCCTGAATTGCTGAGTATCTACTAAAAAATGCAATTTGTAGTGAAATCCTCTCCCAAAGAAAATTCCAGACCCAAATGCCTTCATAAGTAAATACCACCAAACATATTAAGAAAAATTACAGCAAATCTACATAAACTCTTTCAGAACGTAAAAGAGGAGGAAATAGTTTTCCATTTGAGGCTGGCATTACATTGACACCACACCAAGCATGAAGGAAACCTACAGAGCAGTATTCTCAACAATTTAAATGCAAAATACTTAAAATTTTAAACAAATTGACTCTAGCAAAATAGAAAAGAACAACACATATACAAGTGCAGTTTATTCCAGAAATGCAGGACTGGTGTGGAAATTGAAAACTAATCCATTTAATGAATAACATTAACAAACCAAAAATAATTTCATGACTAACTCAACAGATGCATTCTTTGCAAACGTTACACATATATTCATGATACCAATAAAAGACCGACTAGCTAGCAGCAGAAGAGAATTCCCTCATATCTATTAAAAATTACTAGGTAATTTCAATTCAAAGTACAAGACTCAATTTTGCAACCATGTCCCCTCCACTCTTACAAGTTCAATTCCATGTTGTGCAGTCAGTGCTAGCCATCACGATGAGGGAACAATAGCATGTATGATTTAGAAAGGAAACACATGTATTTCGAAGACTGTGTAGCTAATTTTGCTGCACCCTAATATTGTTCCTCTGTTCATCTGATTTCTATGACAGCGTCTTTGTCTCATCTAATGAATGTTCTGCAGTATCTCACTACTCTTCTGCTTCAGAATTCTCACTGATGCCAGGAAAAGCTATCAATCAGACATGCCAACACAGAGTAGAAGTACAATATGCCCAAGTGTCTCACTCAACCAATGGAAGATGAAGGTTAGAACAAAAATGCCTCCTCCTCCTCACCCCTCAGTATGCAACCTCTGGGGAGAATTCTACATGGTTCTTCAAAGCCATCACAAATCTGAGTCCCAAGCTTCCAATGTGGTATCCAGCAAAATGTATATATTATTGGCTTTTCTCTCTTCTCTTTGGAGTTCTCACTCACTATTCCCTCAATTGTTCTTCCTGGGTTCACCTTCCAAATAAACTACCTCACCCACCTGCATTTAAGTCACTCTGTTACTTTGGACCGCTCCTTCCCTAACAGACACCCCCATGAGCCGATCCTCTTTGAGGCAGGTATATGCTTGTATGTCTTTACACTGAGGTAACACTGGATTATAACACCATATGTGACTCAAAGCATAGGTTCACTCTTCCTCCTCAGAGGCCATTAGCACACCACACCCTCAGCCCTCGGCCCTCTAATGGTCCACGTGCATCTCCACTCTTTTTTTCCCTCCCTCATCTTGTAGCTTCAATTTCACAGCCATATTTCTAAGGTTTGCTATTGGCTTGATCTTGTCTGATCCTTTCTTTTGTTTTTCAGTATTCCACATATGTGAAATCATCTGGTATTTGTCTTTTTCACTTACTTCACTCAGCATTATCTCTTCCAGATCTATCCATGTTGTCACAAGTGGCAAAGTTATTTTTTTAAAATAGTTGACTAGTCCATTCATTGTGTATATATACCACAATTTTCTAAACCATGCCTCTGTGATTGGGCACTTAGGTTGCTCCCATAACATGGCTATTGGAAATATGTATCAGAGTATTATATCCCTTCAAATTAGTGCTCTAGCATTCTTTGGATGCCTAGGAGTAGGATTGCTGGATCATAAGCTAAATCTATTTTTAATATTTTGAGAAGCCTCCATACTGTTTTTCATAGGGGCTGGAGCAGCCTACACTCCAATCAACAGTAAAAGAAGACACTTCATCATTATTTTCCAGTGAGGTCTTCTCTCCCCACCCTATTTTAAGTTATACACCTTATATCCCTAACTTTACTGATTCAACAGCACTTAAAACCATCTAACTTGGGCCCTCCCTGGTGGCACAGCAGGTTAAAGTACAGCACTGAGAAAAAAAGCTACTTCAGTATGAGTTTGATTCCCACCCTGGAAGTGATCCACATGGTGCTGCAGACCTCTCCTGACCCGCCCACTGCTCCCCTCAGCAGTGTAATTCATCAGTCATCCCATTCTGCTCCCCACTCTGTCTCTGGTGAACCCTCTCTCTGCTCCTGCACCTCTGGCCTGTACCTCAGCTCTGTATGCATAAATAAATAAATCTTTAAAAAAAAATCTACCTTATTGTGTAATTAATTTTACTAATTTCAATTAGACTAGAAGCTTAAGGAATGCACTTATTTTCGACTAAGTTTTTAATTGTAGTATTTCTCTAAAATACCATCAAGCATATAGTAGGCACTCAATAAAAGTGTGAATAAATCAATTTGTCAATAAGGTGAATTTTATTACATGTAAGGATTGAATTCTTATAAAAAAAAAAAACCTGGAAACTCTGATAATCTTCAAACATGAATGATACAAATACCGTTGGTAGCTTTGCAAATGAGGCCAACTAACTCTATCACAGACAGTTTAGAGGACAGTCCCATGAATTTGATAGAATCCCCTTGAGTTCCCTTTACATTGTGTCATTATAATACTATGAACCATAAAAGAGTATACTGTGGGAAGAAAATTGGCATGAAGCCAATATTTTTTCTTCTTAATAGCTCACAAGAACGCCAACCTAGCAATCGCAGGCCATGCTTCTGTTTAGTCTACCTAATGATTCCAGACATGGAGATAGAGAAGAATACTTCTTGTATCTTTGAAATATGAGTCTCATTTTCATTTTTATATTGTTCAAGACATTTATTAAAAGGAAGGAAAAACCCTTCTTGGTTTAAGAAGAAATTAAAATTGTTTTTAATCACACTTTTTATTACCTGGACACTGGATAAAGGACCACTCATAGTTCTTTTCTTTAGGACAAAGGCTGGTGTCAAGAACCATCTCATTATTATGCATTCCAAATAGCTTCATAGGTCCCCGGGAAGAACCTTCAATGCAGTGTCCTCTTCCTGTATTACTGGGGTCATTGCACCATCCACATCCAGGCTGTTCCAGACATTGTCCACAGGTTCTCAATCCAGAACAGTTCTGAGCTGTGTAACAGGAATATTAACAAATACATAACTTAATATTCAAAGAGAATTGTAAACTAATGTACAGATAGATAGAATTTAAAATAAAAGAATAAAAGGTCATTTATAGTTAATATAAACTTTTTTGAGATAATACCTAAGAAATAGCAATCACTTAAACAAACCTTACATCATGAAAAAGGGAAAAAGGTGGAATGACTTGAAAGTGAAAAGGGGTTAACAGCCATGACATGGAGAAAAATGAAGTCAGCATGTAGAAAAATACTGGTTAATTCTGCAGTATTAATACCTGTAGGGAGTTCACCCAGAGGCCTACAGACTGTATTTGCCATTGTGTATGGTGTTCAGCTGTTCATGATAAGCCAGGTGAAGGCCTTCAATGAAAGTGTCTGCATCTGCTAGTAAACTAATGCACGTGACGTCTACCCATTCCAATGGGAGCTGACCCCTCTTTGGTCAGCCTCTCATCAATAATGATCCTCCTGGCAGTCAAAGATACTACCAGTTGATGTGATGAGTACACCCACTTTCACCCACAGCAAAATGAAGTCAGCACTTCATGAAGAGGAACATAGGAAGCAGACACTCTCCTCAGAGACAACCAGCAGCAAAGGGTCTCCCCGACTTGCAGGGCTGCTGACTCCCTGAAGAGTCATTCCAAGATTCACCTGAAGCTCAAACTTTTTTTTTTTTTTTTAGAAGATTTATTTATTTATTCATACAGAACTGGGGTACAGGCCAGAGATGCGGAGGGTGAGAGGATTCACCAGAGACAGAGTGGGGAGCAGAACAGGCAGATCGACGAAGTACACTGCTGAGGGGAGCAGCGGGCGGGTCAGGAGAGGTCCGCCACGCCATGTGGTCACCTCCGGGGCAGGCGGGAATCGAACTCATGTGGAAGCGGCTTTAGATTCTCAGTGCTGTGCTTTAACCCGCTGCGCCACCAGGGAGGGCCTGAAGCTCAAACTTTTAATTGATATACAACATATGAACTTCAACAAAGCCTATGCATAGCACGACCCCTTTTTCCAAGGACACACTATAGCCTGCAATCATATTCAAGCCAGTTGTAATCTGATCTTTTAAAGTATTAATTCACAATCAAAGTATACTATATTGGGCTGATTACTTTAATCACTAATTACTTTAAAGTGATGTTTTGCTAGAAAAAGCACACTTTGTCTTAGTAAATGTTTACACATAAAGATAGTGATAAAGACTAATGTCTTCTAGTCATAGACTAGAAAAACCCAGGAGGAAAAAAATATGATAGACTTCTGGCAAACTCAGTTTCATTACTGTGGTGGTAATCACTAACCGCCACTCAATGTTTTAATATTATTGGAAACAAAATGTTCCTCAGATTTATGCAAACATAATGGCACAGGCTTCTCAGTGAAAATCAGGAAACCAATATAGTGATTGTACAAGGATAACAGATTATTGGACTGAAAAATTCATCAATCGCAATATGATTTGTTGTGAATATTTCAGAGATAGGATGTCAGTAAGAAAAACCATTCCCGTTTTTCTTTAATAATAAATTTTAAGTGGAATAATACTCTTTCAGTCACTGATCTCAAATGCCTGAAGTTAAAGCTATAGATAAATAATTGACATGAAGATTTGTTTTATATCTATGACTGCAGTTGGTTCAGAGTATTGTTCACGGGGTTCCTCTAATTGTTTTCAAAACTATATTGGGTTGCCATTTTATCAGTGACAGATAACTCAAACTATCAAATTAGTTACTTTATCTTGACATTCCAATTATTTAATATCAGATGATAAAGTGAAATATATCTTAATAGGGTATCAATCACCCAGGATAAGTCTCATATTATTTGTAGTATATGGATATCTCCAAGAAAAAGTAAATTTCATTTTAATACCATCTTTTCAAAGAAAGATAACTAATACAATGTCTTTCAAAAGTATTATGTACAAATTAAGTCTCAACTATTCTGAACTATGCAATGTTTTTCAAATAAGGAAATGCTGCATGAAGGAATCCTGGTTTTCTTGCATTGACTACATGATAAACTATTAACCTTCTAAATCTATTTATCTACTCTGAGGTTTTCCAGTGAAAAAAAGACCTGTATAAAAGAGAACTCCAGCAGACTAGGCCAAGCTGTAGAGAGGGGAGGAAGGGTGACCAGGTATAACTTAGAGCAATTATGAGGAAAAAGGAATGAGAATTAAGATGGCAAAGTCCCCGGGGAGGTTTCCTTCATGAAGACTGAAACTATTTCCTCCCTGTCCAACTGAACACCTTTCAACCACAACAGCATGTCTAAGCTCGATCAATACTGGATTACAAGTGACTGCTATTTTGTCACCTTTGACTGCGCTGTAATTGCAATTCCTTGGGCCCTGGCGCATGCAGACTGGACTCACTCTTTGCAAACCCTGCATAAGCAGGTAAAAAGTATTGGGAGGAAAAACAAAACAAATTAAAGGACCCCCCCCCCCAATTCTTCGGCACTAGTGCATTTAAGACATTTCAAGGAGTTGAAAAGTGTAAACTAAAATCTTCTTGTTTTTTCTGTGACTACTGGGATTTAAGCAAGTGAATGAATGCTTTCTTTGTTCAAATACATGATTTCTAGATGGATATAAATTTGAGCTTCTATTCTATCTAAAGTGATTCTGCAGCTAAATTTTCTTGTGGGATGGTGGTCTCCAGGCCCCTGCATGGCATCATAATCCCCCCAAAAGAGCATAAAGTCTGAATCAATCACAAGAGAGACAAACCCCAAGCAGGGGGAGTTCAGCATTGAGAAGGTGTTGAGAACAATGGGAGTAAATTTAATCTTTTCTATTTCATTCAAGTCCCATGTGGAAAGGCATCTTTCTGCTGAGACCCAGCCTGAGACTAGATGGTGGGAAGACAAGTCGTATTTTCTGCTGCATGGAGCCGACAGAGATCAGTAGCTCCTGTCGTCTCCCAAGCGAAAAGAGTCGCACATGGCGTCAACTCCCTGCAAGGCCCCAGCTGTAGCATTATGCAACCCCGTGGCAGCAGAATCCTGCTGCGATTGATACTTGCAAGAAACGCCACTCTCATAACCCACAGCACCCAGCCAGGTGCACCCTCATCCTATAGCCCTACAAAACATGAGATCAGCAAGGGATTGGAGTTTCTGAGGAGGCACCATCCACAGCACATCTAACATGACTCCTGTGTGAGTGCAAAACCACATTCCACATTCGTAGCCGAAATAATGCAGCAACATGATAGTCTTGTCAAATACTGAGTAACCTGAATCTCATCATGCAGAAACAAACAGGCAAATCTAAACTGGAAACTGGCAAATCAACCGGTGTAGATTCTTCAAAAATATCAGTCGGGAAAGAAAAACAAGACATGGTAACTGTGGTAGCAGCACAGCAAAGCACTAAGCGACCCTCAAAGCGAGCACGTGGATGAAGGATTATGTTGATTCCAACAGGGACTCAAGATTAGGAGGGCAGCCCACAGGCACAGATGCTAGCATGCAGGTTAGCGTGTGAATTAAATTCAGCACTACAGGACCATATAAATCAAGGCAAGTAGAATTGGTAGGTTTTAAAGTCAAGGGTAACAAAACTTTTCTTATTAAAAAAAAAAAAAAAACTCAAGAGCCACCCGGTGGTGCAGGGGTTAAAGACACAGCACTAAAAGCTGTAGCCAGCCATGGCAGCACAGGCAGGGAAGTGACCCACATGGCCAGCAAACCTCTCCTGCCACCCGGGTGCTCCCCTCAGCAGTATGTCAGTAGATCTGACTGTTCTACTCCCAGTTATTGTACGATAAATAAAGAAATAAACCTTACACACACACACACACACACACCCTCCTCAGGGCCCTCCCTGGTGGTGCAATGGGTTAAAGCACAGCACCATGGAGCTATCCGCAGCCACTTCAGCACCAGTTCGAGTCCCAGTCCCAGAGGTGACCCACAGGGCGCCGCAGCAGACCTCTCCTGACCCGCCCGTGGCTCCCCTCAGCAGTGTGCTACCTCAGTCGGCCTGTTCTGCTCCCCGCTCCTTCTCTGGTGAATTTCCTCACCCCTCACACCACTGGCCTGTACCCCAGTTCTTGGATGCATAAATAAATAAATCTTATTTAAAAAAACTCCTCAAAATGTCATGCCACTTCCCATTACAGAAAACCAATTTACGTTGCCATTAAGCAAACATCGGTCTAGACAAACACTCACGGGAGCAGGTGGCCGTCTGCCACTCCAGACACTGCCCGTAGGGGAAGGAGATGATGTAGGCGTTGGAGTCCACACAGCGCCGCGTGCTGCCGCACCACATGCACTCCATGCCGTTGCTGGTGCAGTTGGCGCAGGACGTGCGCAGGGAGCACGGCTTCTTGCACGGCCTCGCGTTCTGATTTGGACTCACTAGAACCAAACAACAGAGACGGCCATAGACTTACCTCCCTGGATTTTCACTCAAACATGAGTTTTATTCAGTTTGCTGTTTGAGGACTGCTTCAAGTAAGTCAAGTGTGCGATGATAATTACAGCATGAGGGACATGACAAGGTTAAGTGGAAATGAAGATGGTCTGCCCTAGGTCTTATCAAAGCAAATCGAGTCAGGGAATGTGGCTCTGGCATACACAAAGTTAAGAAAAGGTACCCTGCCATATTTATGTACAGTACAATATTTATCACGCATATTAAGGTGCCTTTTTGGTTGAATATGGGCAAGGATGCGGAGAAACTGGAGCCTTCTACATTCACAGCATCTTTATTAACATTAGCTAGTGGGTGGAAGCAACGCATCTGTCTGTCAATGGATGGCTGGATACAAAAAATGGGACTGATACCCACAATGAGGAGTTATCCAGGCTTTAAAAGGAAGGAAAGTAGACATGTGCTTGACGCGAATGAACTTCGAAGACATAATTATGCTAATAAAAATAAGTTAGTCACAAAAGGACGTGCATACTGTTGTCACTCACATGAAGTACCTAATGGCATCAAACACCTACATACAGAAACTAGAAGGTCGTTATCAGGGGCTGGGAAAGAAGGTAGAGGGAATTACTGTTTAATGAGTATGGAGCTTCAGTTTGGAAACATGAAAAAGTTCTGAAAAATGAAAAAGATAGTGCTGACATATGTACAACATGTAGATGTAACCATTTAAAAGTGGTTAAAATGATAAAATTTATGTTATGTATATGCTACTGCAATAAAAAATACAGTATTTGAAGAGAAAATAAGTCAATATTCATTTCTCACATAAAAAAAATCCACTTCAAAAGATGACCCAGAAATGTTTCTTTTTACTTGCTGACTTATCTGAAAAAAAAACAAAATGATTTTCAACATGTGAAAATCAATCATAGTAATACACTGCATCAAAAAGGAAAAAAGGAAAACCACATGATTATAACTATAGATGCTGAGAAAGCATCTGATAAGATTCAACATCCATTATGATGAAATGCCTTGAAAAGCTAGAGATAAATGTAATGTCTCTTAGATAATAAAAGTCATCTATGACAAAACCACAAGTAGTATCATCCTCAATGGTGAAAACTGAAAGCCTTTCCACTAAAATCTGGTACAAAAAAGTATATCCATTCTTACCATTATTATCCAATATAGTATCAGAAGTCCTAGCTAGAGCAATTAGGCAAGAGAAAACAATAAAAGGAATCTAGATTGGTAAATAAGAAGTAAGGCTATCATTATTTACAAATAATATGATAATATTCATAGAGAACACCAAAGTCACCACAAAAAAAAACTAAATGAAACAATAAACCAGTTCAGCAAAGTGGCAGGATACAAAATCAACACACAAAAATCAATTGCCTCCTGTATACAAATAAACTAGAAGAAGAAATTAAGAAAGTCAATTACAATCTCACCAAAATAAAAGTAATACCTGGGTATAAGCCTAACAAAGGAGATGAGGGATCTATATCAAAAAAAAAAATTGTAAAAAAGATTCTAAATTTATTGCTAATCTTAACAACTAGTGAACTAGTGTATCTTCCAAATACTTTTATTATACAAGTAAAAAACATTATCAATTTAAGAATATAGTTACTGTAAAGCAACTGTATGCTCACAAACTCAGTATTACAACCAAGAAATAAAGATTATATAAAATAATAAAATTTTGTTTGATTTGTTAATGCTGAGGTCACTAATATAGCTGGATAATGTGGGGGAAAATTAAATTTATCCAAAAAACAAACCCACAAAACAGGGAATCAGTATCGCGAAAAGATGACGAAAGGTAATTCAGACACACAGAATTTCACACGTCATGAGGGACTAGTGGGAAGAGAGGATGGAAACTTCCTATTTTTAAAGATACAGTAGTTTAGCATATTACTTACCAACAGGTTTTTCACAGACAAGGCCGTCTGCCATAGATGTGCAAGGGTTAGCCTTTAAACCTGCCACTGCAGCCCTTTCTAGATACGCACAGAACCCAGAATCATTTGGTTCACCAGGAAGCCACTGTAGTGTGGTGTTTGTGAAGGGAGACATGTCTTCCCATCCCCAGTAGGATATGTTGATCTTGCGTAAACCTACCCAAGGTGATACTTTCTGTAAGGAAACAAAAGGCATAGAAAAAAAAAAAAAAAAGTTAGCTATAAGAATATCTTAGAGTCGTTCCTTAGCAAATAGTTTGATATCTTTGCAAGTTGCTGAAAATACATATAACTGACTTTCTAGTGACTTTCAATACCAAAGTAACAATTCCTAGCTTATCTGGAGAACAATCTAGAAAAGAATACGATTTAGAGGGGGGTTCTTCAAGTAGGCAAAGCTGGCTCCCGGTCCACAGATGCCTACCAAGGGTCTGCAAGCCTGGACCCTGGGTCTACCCGGAGGGCCTGAAGACCACTTCCACCTGAGCAGACCACGTGCCTGTATTCATGAGGCCAAAGCTGGAAGCTGGGCCTGTGAGGGATACCTGCTACCCTGGCCTAAACGCATGGAAGCCAGGTTGGTACTGCAGTAAGCACAGCCCTTGGGCCAACATGCAAGGGCAGTGTCCTTAGCCCACTGCTGGCCTTCTGCAGGGGACACATTGGGTGGGTCTAGAACCTGGGCCAGAGGGGCAGCTTGAATACTGGTTCATAGGAAGGGATTGAATCCTGAGTCGACATTGGGTGGGCCAGATTCCTGGGCCAAAGGAGCCAGCCTGGTGCTGGAGTCTCGGGAAGTGCCTGGAATCTCAGTCTGCTGGAGCCTGAGATCTGGCATGGAGGCTGTGTCTGCAGATACCAGCCTAGAGCTGGAGGGTGCAAGCCAAGCCTCGCAGGGCGTCAGGCAATGGGGTTCACAAGGGTTGACCTGGAACTAAGGTCCATAGCCTTTTCTGGTGCTCACTTCACTCTCCTTCCCCTCCACAGAGGGCAACTGTCACCATCCTACATTTCCCTGTGCATCCTACTGGGGATGGGGAGACATGTCACACCTTGCCCACAGACAAAGTAAACCTTTCTCTTATTCTTTTTTTTTTAAGATTTATTTATTGACCAGTACTAAGGTACAGGCCAGAGGTGCAGGGGCAGTGAGAGGATTCACCAGAGACAGAGTAGGGAGCAGAATAAGCAGATCAACGAAGTACACTACTGAGGGGAGCAGTGGGCAGGACAGGAGAGGTCTTCTGGTCCACATGGGTCACCTCCAGGTCCCAGGATCAAACTTGCACTGAAGCAGCTGCAGCTCACTTGCAGTGCTGAGCTTTAACCCACTGAGCCACCAGGGAGGGCCCCTTTGCTTTTATTCTTCAGTGAGTCTTTTCCCATTTCTATGCTCCACCCTATCTTACAATCCCTTCCCTAGGTTCCTCACAAAAAGCACTGACTTGAACTGATGTTTCTGTGAGGGCACAGCACTGGTAAAGCCTATTTTCTTACCTGTTGATATTATTCTTAAACACTTCTACTTTGAAATACATGACAATATATTTACTTTGTAAGTTGCTAAGCTAAAAATAATATATGACAATGTGAAGTGGTTTCAAAATTCTACATCATCCTTTTTTTACATTCTGGACTGTCAGGGTAGAGAAAAAATGTCTCCCCATTTGAGGCTTTAACAATACAGAAATAAGATATATAAATGTCTATAAAAATGCAGAGATGATATATAGCTATAGATACAAATGCAGATATAGAGATCTCCAGTATCTATTCTAAATATGCTGTGCAAATGATCTAGGACAGCTTAGAAAGATGGCCATATCCTAGAAATTTGTATAGTGAATAAAACCATAAATTTCACATAGTAAAAATGCAGTAAATATTTCTTAGATAAAATTTTTAGATCCTATGAATATTCATCATGACACTAGATATCATATCACCTAAAGTACCATGCACATAGTAAGAAGTCAACAAATTTTGCTAAACAAAGTTTATTAGAACAGAGATGGCTAATTTTCACTATTAAAATCCTGAGACACAGATAATGCATAATAATGTTTCTAATTATGAAAATACACACGCTGCTTCACATCATGATCATCTCACATTTCATACATCATGTTGAAAGATATTTCAGTAACAGAAAAGCTGTAACATTTTAAAATTCTTGATAATAGCAACAAGAATCAACCCCACACAGATATTTCAGATTAATGACTGTTTCACATGACAGCAGCTCTGCCTATATTTCTAAATTATCTATAGTAAAGACAAGTCATTTAACATGAAATATTACCCACTAACTTATCATGATAAGAATCTGGGAGGAAGAGGAGAAGAACAGAAAAATGAAGCAATTGATAAAACATTTAAAGTAACTATTATTCAGTAAATGAACTGGACAGGCAGTTGAAAATGAAAGATGAATTACTATATTATGAAAATTTACTGCAGCACTCCAGAATTATTGTAACATTTCATTAGCCATTTCTAGTAAGTAAATGATCATTTGAACCAGGGTATCTCTTTAAACTGCACAAATTTGTCACTTTATTTACCAAGGAAGGAATAGCTTACAACTGCAGTGATGCAGGATATAATTTGTTTTCTACTATGCATATGCTTGCTGGAATGATACCCTACAGAAGTTATTGCCAAAGTGTAAATGTAACAAAGGCTTAAGTTTCTAATGAAATAAAACATTAATCAATTAGCAGGCATGCTAGTCTACAAACTACTTAATCGACTTCATGACACATCTAAAATAGTGGTTAATCCAGTCTTTATTATTAATAAAACTAAGCAAAAAATCCTCAAATATGCAGCTGCTGAAACAGCACATTTAAAAGATATAGTGTAAGAGTTATCAATAAAAAATAATATATTTTAAATAAGGAACAAAGCAATAGAACTCTAGTACTTTCTAAAATTCAAAGAATGTGGATCTTCCAATAATAAACTGTAAAATAGTCAGAACAACTAACTTTCAAATTTTCACTGGCAACTGACCCTCAATTTTATAATTAAAGAAATGAAAATCTTGAGATCACAGGTATATAAAGAGATCATGTTTAACTGTGTTGTATATCATGTTGTACACAAATCTACCTTGCATGTTTTTCTAAAATGATTTAAAATTTTAACAGATCTCTCCTACATGATACCAATAAATCTTATTCTCCATCTATAAAGCTGGCAGCACTTATGCAAGAGAAATTAATAGAAAGAAACAGGAACTTTCCTGGTCTCCTTTACAAATCTCCTCATGTGTTGGCGAAGCCCAGGTCCATCAAAAGTCAGTGAGTAAGGGTGTCCCCTAGGAAAATTCTAATCACCAATTACTAGTTAGATATCCACCCTCTGTCTTCATACATCATCACTTGCATCTTCATGGGAATTATCACATTTCAGAAGAATGGCTCATCTTTTTTCCCACTTAATCTGAGCAAAATGATTGTCTTTTGATCTCTGTATTTTCAAGCAAGCGCTAGTAGTAGGTAGTAGTAGTGAACTGAATGCCGATGCAAAAAATTCAAAGTCAAAATTGTGAACTTACATTCCTTACATTACTCTGTGTTTTAACAATTATGTAAAGCTGTTCTTATATCACTTCTTAAAAACCAGATGCATATTCCCATCAGTAGCGAAAGGCAACTCAATAACATATGTTCCTAGTCTTCGACCATGCTCAGGAATTACCTTAAGAGATAAACTAAGGGGGGGGGGCCACCCTGGTGGCACAGCAGGTTAAAGCACAGCACTAAGAAGCTAAAGCCACCTCAGCATGAGTTCGATCCCCTGCCCTGGGGGTGCAGGCAGACCTCCCCTGTCTTGCCTGCCGCTCCCCTCAACAGTGTACCTTCTCAGTCAGCTGTTGTGCTCCCCACTCTGTCTCTTTTTTAAATCTTTGGGGAAAAAAAAAACCTACAGGGGAAGAAAATGCTTATTTACCAATGTGGAAATGTGGAAAAATTAAAACATTATTCCGGGGCAAGCATTTTATCACAGTCAGTATCAATACACTATTTATCAAGTGAATTCATTTAGTTACTAATGTAGTCTCTAAAAAATGATTCCATGAAATAGTTTCAATAGCAGTAGTGATAACAAAGACACAAATTTAATAAAGCTTAAATGAAGATAATATTAATCACTCAAAGTTTTAAATAACCTATATTCTTTATAAGCAATATCTCACTTATTTGTCACAAGCACTCAAGGTATTATGATTATACCCAAATCTAGTACAGTCCCCAGATTTAAGGCCTTTATTGCTTAACCTTTTTGCTTACCCAAACTATAATGAGTCCTAATTTTATTTTCAAATTGAAATACAAAAGCCTGATAGTAAAACTTACATTATATTAAATAGTCAAGCTAAATAAAGTATTTCAAATTAGATTTAGAAAACTATTTCCAAATTTCCTGTTGAATCCACACTAAACGGTGGCTATACTTTAACGTTCCAAGAATATAAAGTTAATACTATAAATTCCTCCTATAAAATCATATTTTTATCATTATCAAGGAAATCTTCTATTTTATGGAAATATTTTTACAAAAATCTCTAGAAAAGTGAAACAATTTCCAAGTATTGCATGTCTCAGTGTAGTACAAATACTTTCAAAATAGGTTTTAGTGGCACTCCCTGGTGGCGCAGCAGGTTAAGGCACAGCACTAAGAAGCTAAAGCCACTTCAGCATGAGTTCGATCCCCGCCTGGGAAGTGACCTGGGTGACCCACATGGCCTCCTGGCCCACCCACTGCTCTCCTCAGCAGTGTACATCATCAATTGGCCTGTTCTGCTCCCCACTCTGTCTCTGGTGAGTCCTCTCACCATCCCTGCACCTCTGGCCTGTACCCCAGTTCTGTATGCGTAAATAAATAAATCTTAAAAAAAAATAGGTTTTCGGCCCTCCCTGGTGGCGCAGCAGATTAAAGCACTGCTCTGAGAAGCTAAAGCCACTTCCTCATGAGTTCGATTCCCGCCTACCCTGGAGGTGACCACATGGCGTGGCAGACCTCTCCTGACGCGCCCGCTGCTCCCCTCAGCAGTGTACTTTGTCGATCTGCCTGTTCTGCTCCCCACTCTGTCTCTGGTGAAGCCTCTCACCGCCCCTGAGCCTCTGGCCTGTACCCCAGTTCTGTATGTTAAAAAAAAAAAAAAATAGGTTTTCGTTCTGCTAATCTTTAATATGTTATTTTCAAAATCTAGATAACAATTCTCTTTCCCCCACATCCTCTCTTTTGCTATCTCATACACACACATACACATTAACATATACAGCCAGTATGTTGGCCTACATGATGTATCATTCATTACAAATTCTTATATTATATGCATATGGTTGAAGTAATTTTATTCATATGAGATGATTTCTGTAAGATAACACACTGATTTACTGCTCAGGACATGAGGTATACAATTTAGAACACATTACCAAAAACACAGAATGAGTTCTCTGACAGTTCACATTTAAAATCGGTTCTACTTTTCTGTATTCAATGTGTTTAAAAAAACAAAAGTAACAAATCATTGTCAATAATTCTGGGGTTATCAACATATATCCATAACACAATTAAGTATAGTTGTTACCTGCTGTGTATACTTCTGTATTTCATCCAGAACAAATTCTACTTCTTTTGAGGTTGTTAATGAAGCAAGATTACCACTGAGATTATAGCAATAAAGTTTTGCATTATCATAGCTTTCTCTACTGGAATTGAGTCTAAGACAAGCATCCCCAATATGATTCCATCCTTCTCCACAAAGATGAGCTAGTAAAATAAAAATCTTAGTTTTAGATTACTAAAAATCATGTAGATATTTCAATTACTTCAGAACTCTAGTTGCACGTATGTATTTCTTTTAATAATCTTCAAAAATAAAAAGTTTAAGTATAGCAATATTCTATACTAAACAAATTTTCTCTATAGTTGGGTGGATAATGAGCACAGAAGAGCCTAATATTTTTTTCTTTAATTCTATGGCTGTATAAAATGAATTAAAGTGTTTTCACTGTTTGCTCATTTTTCTGTGTAAATCTAGTATATTGGCATATGTTAACTCAACAAGTAAAATCACTACGATCTCTATGTCCCAAGAGCCAATTTACACAGTACAGAATCTCTTTAATAGAATAATTACCAGAACATAACAAAACCAATTTCAAAGTTATTCCTACAAGTGAAGCTAATTGTCCTCCAAATCTAATTTCCACAGCCCAATTACACTGATATGAGGAGGGTTCTTTGATTTCTCATTGTAACTGTGGGAGAGAAGTCTCCTTCCACTTATGTTTAGGAATGAAGCTATAATCTTTGCTTCATAATGTTTACTTTTACAGTCATTCACATCTTTCTAAAATTTAGAAGTTTAATATTGAATAATAAGACTATATCCACAGCATCCAAAGTTACCCTAAAATAGCTACTGCATAAAACATAGATACATAAATACCTTATGAAGTTATGTCTCTTGTATACTTTTAAACTTTAGAAAAGGTCAGCATTTATGAAATCTGGATATAGAGTGCTTATTGTTTTGTTTTGTTCTCAAGCTTTATTAATGGAAAGGATTTTGCTGGAAAATATGCAAACTCTTCTCTCAAAAACATTACTGTTATTATTCCAACAGTTCATTTGTTGGTTTAACTCTAGAAACCAAGCCTCCACAGAGGAGCTGTTCCTCCTAGGTGGGGAAGCACCCCCTGCAGGCTGAAGTCTGTACCTGGTAACGCCTGGCATTCTTGTTGTCGCTGATCCCACTGGCAATTCAAGTTCAGCGAACAGCTCTTACAGCTGGTGAGCTTGTTACACATCTGCTCGTTCCTCACGTGGCACTTGGTATAGTTTTTCACAGACTAGGAAATGAAAAGATAAAGCATGTTAACTTTTCACCTTTGCACAGCCATGATTCTTGGCATTTACAAATCACCTGGTGAATCTTAAAATAGATTTCCAGTCCCCCATTCAGATCTACTAAATCAGAGAATCTCGTTTATTCATTCATTTACACTATAGTTCTTGGTATTGTAGTGTGTGATTATGGGGGGTGGGGAGGAATACACAAATTACAAAATTTTAAACAAAGGCCAGCTAGTGAAAACCTATTAAATCTGAGAACAGGCTTTCATTTCAACAAATAAAGCCAATCTGCAAAGTAATTCCTCTTAATGATTATATGAAAGTATTCTAGTCATCATAACTATTATGCTAACTCCCTAGAAATGAAGTTGAAGTGATAAGTAGTATAAATTTAAGAGATGCTTAACCAAAATCCAATACAATTTAGAAGGATAATTTTTTCTCAATAACTCAGACTAATTTCTCTTCCAATAGCACCAAATAATAGTTCTGCTTAATTTATGTTTATCCTGTATAGATTTGCCCCATTTCCATTATCAAGGCAGCAAACAATTAGTGAAAGCTGCATTTCACTCAGTCCTACTGCACAAAGTTATCATATTCAACCTATTCAGCACTGAGACACTAAAGATAAAAGATAAAAATAAACAACAGGCAATATAGGGGCTTAGGTGGCGCCCTTACCACCACTTTCTTTAAATTACACCGATCAAATATTTATTTATAATAACTTACTTATAAATTAATATTACATTTCTACATAAAACATACTGTAGTCATCTTCATTCCAAAGTAATATCTTTAAAACAAGTTACATACAATTTAAATAACAGGAAAGAGTACAGATGTTAATGTTCACTTTAATTCATGACAACATATCAGATTTTTCTAAAACTCACATTACTGTGTGACTTTTATTCAACTACCACATTTCTGTTAGAAATATATAAACTTGATTATAATTCTGGTGCTGCACAAAAGTGTATGTCACTATTTAAAAGTTTTAAAGATCAGTATATAAAAATTCAAGATTTTATTACTTTGACTCACAACTTTCTATTTTCAGATGGCATAGAAATCTAATATTATTCCATTGGACCCTTATAGTAAGGCCCCAAACATTCACTTGAATCATCTGATAAAAGATATATTAAATTGACTAGAGAATGGCTAAAAAAAAAAAAACTGCTAAAATAAGAGAAGGAATAGCAGCTTAATGGTCTCTAGAATAACAATGATGGCATAAGAATCAACATCCAATAACCTTACTGCTCTCAGGGAGAACAGTGTAGTCACTTAATGGTACTGAACCAGTACAACAGATGAAATTACATTTTGGGCACACAGAAGGGCAATTCAATCAATGATGTAAGAAAACTGATTGTTACTCTGAAACACGGCTGGCATTTTTTTACCTAATTAACCAAATGCACATTAGTAAACACACCATGAAAAGTGAGCATTATGCAACTGATCTGATTTAGTTATAAATTTCAGATAAAAATCTATGAACAATAAACAGGTTATTTCAGCTTTTAGAGCACAAAATTTGACTAGATAAAGAAAGAGGTTATCAGTGGACATCAATTTCACTAAAAATCTCTGTACCCATTAGCATTTGGTTTAGCTTAATCGCCAGACATTCTAACAAATTTGGCTAACACACACATCACACCAAAGCCTAAATCATAAGCGAGTACCATCTGCTTGCTAATACAATCTCATCCAGTACTCTCCTTGTTAACACATCATCATTGAAAATAAAATTTAAAGGAACAGGTCTCAATATGAAATGAATATTTGCTAGCAATCATTATAATTATCTAAACATACATTAACACAAATTGACCCAACAACTTTTTTTTTAAATGTGTTTGTGATTTTTTTTTAAAACATTGAAGTAATATTGGCTTATAACATAGTGTAAGTTTCAGGTACACTATATACATAGACACGCACACATATTTCTATATATAAGTATAAATATGAGATTGAAGATCACCACCAAAAGCTTAGTTTCCACCCACTGCCATCTAATTGATGTCCTTTAGCCATTTTACCCATCTCCTTCTCCTCTAGTAACCATCATTTTGTTGTTAGCATCTAAGGGTTTATTTTCATTTTGTCTGGTTTCTTTTTGTCTTGATCATCAACATACAAGTGAAATCTTAGAGCATTTGTCTTTGTCCCACTGACTTAAGACTCATTTCACTTAGCATAATCCCCTCAATATCCATTATATTCATATTGGCCCAAATGGCAGGAGTTCATCATTTTTTATGCACTCATTCATCACTCATCCCTCATTGACTGATCCATCAATACACACTCAGGTTGCTCCAGAGCTTAGCTATCATCATATTCAATAGTGGAAATTGAAAGCTCCTGCTGCTAAGTTCAAGATCAAGACAAGGATGCCCACTCTCACCACTGCTATTCAACATGGTGTTAGAAGTACTAGCTAGAGCAATGAAGCAAGAAATAGAATAAAAGATATCCAAATTGGAAAGAAATAAGTAAAAGCATTACTATTTGAAGGTGACATGATATTATATACACAAAAAATCTTAACGATTTTATTACTGATTACTTACAAAAAAAGTAACTGCAATAAAGTTGCAGGCTACAAAGTCAATATAAAAAGTTATTATTTTATACACAAACAACAAGCTATTGGAAAGAGAATTAATAAAACAATACCATACATTACAGGGCCAAAATGAATAAAATATCCAGGAATAAAATTAACGAAGGTGGTAGAAACCTATAGACTGAAAACTATGGATACACACTTTTGAAAGTATACTATAGATACTTTTGAAAATAACTGAAGAAAAAAAGACTAGGAAAAAAAATAAATGGAAGAAGAAAATGAAGACAAAGAAGTAAAAAAAAAAAAACCTGCTTGTTCATGGATCAGAAGAATTAGCAATCCATGTTTATGGATTGGAAGAATTAGCATTGTTAAAACAGCCATTTTATCTAAAGCAAATTCAGTGTAACCCCAATTAAATTTTTTATGTCACCACAAAAGACCTCAAATAGTCAGAACATTCTTAAGTAAAAAGGCATCACACTCCCTGACTTCAAATAATACTACAAAGTTATAGTAGTTACAGTAATCTAAACATTATCTTATTAGAATTAATTTTTGCTGCTCTGAATGAATTGTCATCTACCACAAGTATGAATTTTACCATTTTCTCAACAGTCTATGCAGAGTAAGTTACCCAACCTCATTACCAATGACATGTGAGCCAGGTAATTTGTCTGTCTGTGTGTGGAGGGGAGAGATGCTTATTGATTCTAGATTGTCTAACAGCCTCCCAGACCTCTACTGACAACCAAAAAAAAAAACTCTACACACATCACCAAACATACTTGGGACATAAAACTGACTACAATGAGAACCACTGACCTAAAGACAGACATAAAAGGAAAACCAGCACTGGCAACGCTCAGGTTGAACATGTGCAAACTGAATGAGCACTCTCTAGACCTCCGTCTGCTGATGTGTGTCAGGTAAGAAGTCAATGAAGATGACATCAGCACTTACGTCCAAAATCCTACTTCTCTCAGTAAAGAAGACAATGTGCATAGTTACGGTCCTTTTTAAAATCAGTTTTGAAAGAATTTTTCCAGCCCATCCATGAAAGGAGATAAAAGTTACTGGCTCCAAAATGGAATGGGGACTAACATATCTGAACAACAAACTGCAGACTGAATTTACAACATGTTAAGACGTGAGTGGATCCCCACATGTTTTCTCAATGTCTTGATTTATAAAGTACTGTTAATGGTAAGCTAGTGAGCAGCAGCGTCAACAGCGTAGCCGCTAACCCATAAATACTAACCATACTGCAGTTACTGTTTGCTGAAATGCATTTCTTGTCATCACACCACTGGCACCCATTGGTATTAGCGGTGCAGCTGGCACAATCCGCGTATCTGTAACACCTGTCGTCAGAAGCAGCTGAAATCCAAAGGGGAGGTAAAGGCATCAGCATAAAGAAAATGTCACATTTCTCAAGTCCTACTTTTTAACATGTTTAAGAATCACTGAGACATTTTGAAGCCCAAATATGACCGCCCATACCAACACAGGTCTTCAGTACTGAGTTGACTTCGTAGCTTATGTTTACAAGATCTTAGCTACCTGCCACCCTCACCTGAATTATCAATTCAGCCGGGCTCCTACAGCTATTTAAAACTTACACACGAGGGGTGGAGAGTTAGATATTTTACTGAACAAAATGTATTATTATACATCTAAAAGAAAACATTATGATAAAAACTCAGTTTATCATTCCTTGTAAAAAAATAAAAGAGACATCTGAGTTTTTGGAGTATCAAAACTTACACATACATTTTTAATGTATACATCAAAATGAGTTGTTCAAACATTTTTATACACCAACAATGTATAAAACCTCCACTATTTAAATAAAATGGAACAATTTTTCTCCAAATCATTAATTCATGAATATTTACTAGTATTTTTCATACATTTGATTTATTTATTCAATATTTTACAAGAAATATGAAAGTAGAACATGTCATAAAAATTCTAAAAAGTTTTATAACTTTATGGTCTGGTTTGCAATTATTCAGGAAGACAAAAACCAGTAAATGTGGAATAAATTAGTACATTTTATTTCCTTGAAGCATATAGTATTTCTTAGAAAGGATACATTTGAAATTTTTTATTTATATAGCAAAATAATTCATATATAAGCAATATTACATATAAAATATTGATGCACATTACAGACAAAATTCTAAAAAGGAAAACCAAAAATAGCTAATAAAGATATTAAATTATTAATTACTGCTAAATTCAAACATTAGAATCTCTAATGAGGTTATGAATTTTTAATTTCTAAAAGCTAAAATAGTACTTATAAGCAGAATGCATCCGTATTTCTAACCAAATAGAGATGCTTTGAAAAAAGCGTAAAAAAAATAAAAACTTCACCTGTTTTAGGAGGACACTTTGCTCTAAGAATGTTATTAGTATTCCCAGATTCCCAAGATTCACAGTGATTTTTATTCCAAATGCATTTTATCCCTGGACCAGCATTCTTACAAAGTTCCTCATCTCTGAAAGCTTTACAATTTGGAGGTTTGTATACAAGGATATCATTAAGAAGTACGCTAGAAAATCCTCCAAATATATACATGGACCTATTAAAAACAAAAATTGCAAAGAAACAATATTAACAAAATTCTCTGTCCAGTGTATTGATTTAAAATATATATATATATATATATATATATATATATATATATGTATACATTTTACATACCTAAAAAGGAGAAGAAACAAGAATTACAACATTTCTTGATCAGGAAATAAGTACCATTTTATCAATGTAGGAAATATATATCAGCTACATAAATGGATAAAAAGATACACTTCCTAACTGCCATCAAAAGTTGTAATTAAATTAAAATTAGATATAGAGTTCATAGAGTGTTTTACTATCTTCTTATAAAATAAAATTGTAGAGTAAAATAATGAGAAAAATTTTAAATTTCAATTTGGAAAGACAAGTCCATTATTGAACTAGTACTAAATTAATACTACCAACACCAAAGAAATATTAAAACAGCACACATTTTATTTCTAAAGTTATATAAGTATAATAAATAGAAAAGTTCTGAAAGTGCTTATATCTCTATTTTTAAATACAAATATAAAAATCAATTTTTCCACAAAGAATTCTAAATGTTTTGTTTCCACTGAATTTCATTTATTACTATATTGAAAAATAAATGATATCTGTTTTACACAGTTCCATTAATTGTAACTGTTTTCAGTATCATACTGGAGAAGTTTTGTGTAGCTGGAATGGGATCATAGTAAAATAATCAGAACATAATTACAAATTATAAGTTCTAAGGTTTTGAATGTACCATCATATTGTTTACTGCCATTAAGCTCAAATTACCAAATTTTTGCTATAGAAATAGTAACATAAAAGAGGAAAATATTTAATGATAATCCAGTCCAAATTCCCAATTGGATGCAAGGATTTTAAAGTTCAAAATTAAGACAGACTGCAATAATCAGGCATTTAGCGATAACACACTAAAATGAAATTTGATTTCTTTCACTTCCCTTGCTCTCCTGGACAGAGAGCTCAACTTTCTATAATTTGTTTTCAATTTTTACTAAAATCATTCATTATCTGATCTCTGCAAAAACAAAAGAATGTCAAATTTTAAAAGCACCTTTCCTTTGACCACTGACCTCCCCATTGAATGCATTCTAAAAGAATTAATAAAGGACATGGTTAGCAATCAAGTATACTGCAAGGCAGATGAGGCCTGCAGAAATCCAAAGCCATTAAGGAGAAATGATAATTTTACAAGAGAATAGCAAAACATGTGAACAGTATTTCTTTTACCCATTAATGACAACTGCAGAGTGTCCAAATCTGTTGACATCTCTATGAAGATTGGGCTTTGGTAATATTTTCCATTCATCACAAGCTAGAAAACAGGAAACAAACAAAAAAAATTAAGACATATTATATAAATAAAATCATTGGGCAAATCAAAGACACAATATTTAAAATTAGAATGTCTTTCTGGCCCTCCCTGGTGGCCCAGCGGGTTAGAGCACAGCACATGAGCCACTTCCGCATGAGTTCGATTCCTGCCTGCCCTGTAGAAGATCCACGTGGCTGGCAGACCTCTCCTGCCCAGCCCGCTGCTCCCCTCAGCAGTGTACTTCGTCAATCTGCCTGTTCTGCTCCCCTCTCTGTCTCTGGTGAATCCTCTCACCCTCCGCATCTCTGGCCTGTACCCCAGTTCTGTACGAATAAATAAATAAATCTTTAAAAAAAATTAGAATGTCTTTCACTCATTTTTTATGAATTGCAATTTAGTATCATTATTTGACTAGTTTTATTCCCTAGGTAAAAATAACTTCTACTTATATTCCCCAGAGATAATTTTAAGTGTATGAGAATAAGGGAAATGAAAGAAATTAGGCATACTTTATATCACAAAATAATTTCAATGATGTATCATTATTAAATAAGCCAAGATTCACATAGTAATATACATGAATGTCAATGTGGGGGAAAAGTGCTAGAAAGTTAAATCACTATATCAAATTTTATATGTATACATACAAAATAGAATAGAATCTATAATATTCAGGGAAAGAATGCCTAAAAACAGAGTAACAAAATAAAATACTCAAGTCACTCTAGTAATTTGGTAATTCAAAAGAACAGTTCGGTTTTATGTAATTATTATAGTTGTAAAAAGCAAAAAAAAATCTAAATAAGTCTTATACTATATAAAGAGAATGAAAAGAAAATGTTAAAAAAAATTGTTATCATTTCAATAGAACCTCAAAGTTGACACATATTACTTTGAGATGTCAACTAATTCAGTTTTCAGTAACTGGGAAGATTCTCTTAACAGTTCTAGGTTTTTATCTTCCCACATCTGAAAGCAAACTGTGATATTTAATAAAAGCACATACAAGTAACAAATTCCCAAAAATAAATTTAATTTTCCCATCAGGAAACTTAGAAGTCCTTTCGAACATAAAATACAACTGGCTACAAAAATTGTAAAGAATTACTTGTTCTACTTAAGTAGGTATGTCTATATGTAATAAAACAGTATATTGGTTAAATTAAATATCATTGCTAGTGAAAAACCAAAGGAGTAATAAAAATACATCTTGAGTTGTATTTCCAAAGTATGTATTCCAAGGCACACAAATTCCCCCACAAAAAGTTATCCCTGCTTGTGTAATCTGTCTATCTTTACTTCACAAAGAACATTTGCCTATTGAATACTCTCAAAAGAATAACTCGTAGAAGGTATAGAAGACTAATTTTTCTTAGCCCAGTGCTACCCTCTCCACAGATGCACTTTTCACGGAACACCTCCTCATGTGTCCAAAAGCCACGCTGTGAAGATCACCTTTGGGGAAATTCTATTTCAGAGGCTTATCTATACGTGAGATAAATAGCCAGCCAGTTTTACATCTTAGCTCACGTAAGCAAGGTGCAAAACATGGGTGTAGTAACATAAAATTTACAAAATGCTTTCATCGACATGATATAGAATGGTCATTATAAGAATTCAGTAAAGTTGACTGAGAAGATATGTTAGAAATGAAGACGTGGGCCCTCCCTGCTGGCGCAAGGGGTTGAAGCACAGCACCGTGAAGCTGTCTGCAGTACTGCGGCATGGGTTAGATTCCCACCAGGGAGGTGACCCACACGGCACAGCAGACCTCTCCTGTCTCACCCACTGCTTCCCTCAGCAGTGTTTTTCAGTCAGTCTGCCTATTCTGCTCCCCACTCTGCCTCTGGTGAAGCCTCTCACCCCTGCACCTCTGGCCTGTACTACAGTTCTTGTATGCAAAAATAAATAAATTTTTTTTAAAAACGAATACCTGAATGTAGAAGTTAAGCAATTTTCTTAAGGCCCATTTGTTTTCTTTTAAGTCATGAATATTTGGTCATATGAAAGTGTACTGATACAGCTCTGAAAGATTACTCACACTTGGAGAAAAGAGTTAACATGCAAAGGGCACAGACTGTGAAAAAGAGCGAGCTGAAATGTGAGGGAACGCTACTAAGTCACTGACAAGAGTTCAGTGGCTCTATCTAATCCCAATACACTCACTCACTCAACATACACACAAACCCACATAACTGTTCATTTATAAACTGTGTGTTGATGGTCAAATTCCAACAACAAATTGAGAAACTTGAATGTGCTTCAAAGAAAGGAATTGGAAGAGAGGTGAACTTTCAGAAAGCAGTATCCATAAATCAATTAATTTTATTTATATGTATATGTGTGTGTGTATGTGTATATATATAATATATGTGTGTGTATGTATATATATGTGTGTGTATGTGTGTGTGTGTATGTATATATATATATAAAGTTGGATGTGATAATCCAGGCAATTTCATCATCCTGAGAAGTAACAACAAAATACAAATCTGCCTCCCAACCAATGCTACACTTATATCATGAGGGAAAAATAAACTTTTAGTAGTGTTATTCCTCTATAGAAAGCCCTGAAATGCCTATTCATTAGACGGCTCTGAAGTACGGTCTGAAAATTCACTTCAATGTTAGGGTATTTTTCAACTCATGAAAGTCTCTCACAAGCAAATGTTGAAACTTCAGCCAGACCACTGACATTTTAGAGATGCTAGAAACAAAACTACCTGAGTCAAATGCTAAACAATTATCTTTTATGACAATACACACTTTCCATGGCCAAATAGTTTCAAAGTCCCTAAGTGTAACCTGAGATCAGCTCAGAGAAGCTCATTTTCCCACCATACCTCCACCCTAGCCATCTATTTTAAGGCTATGTTTACTAGAGAGATCATTTGCAACTTAAGGCATGATGGAGGCATTCTGAAAGCAATTAATAGAGTAACAAAAACAAAACAATGAAGTTGTCAGATTCTAATGTCTAACTTCAAGCTTGATTTACAACCTAAAACACTAACTAATCCGCCATTCTGTATACTACACGCACCAGTTCTAGCTCTATTTTTTGCAGCACCTGAGTCACTTTTAAAGATTCACAGACCCAATGTCAAACCTAAGAGAATCCTATTAACAGGTCTGGATTTTGCCCCTACAACCTTCAAAGAAGATGAAAGGGTACAGCTGTGTATCATCACATGCATCTACATCTATCGAGAAATGACAAGAGCTGTCAAGCAAGTCTATATACTTCAAGGCTAATGATTTTAGACATATAAAGTTCACTGTTGCAGTAAGGACATAACAGTACACTTTAGAACAATAAAAATTAGCACTGACAAAAATATTTCTATGTAGTTAAACATCATGTAACGCAAAGAAATTGGCTAAGTCTTCATGTGCATTTCAGTTCAACATGCCATCCAAGTGTTCATGTACCACACTTAAGAGAAAAATTAGCAACATGACCATTTTTTCCAACACATCTTTCTCTAGTTGGTTCCTTATTCAATGGCTGTATTTCATTTGCACAAAAAATAAGTCAATAAACAAAACAATTATTTTGTCAGACATTTTCAGAAATGTGAAAAATATTTTCCCCGGAAAAATATCTCAACACTTAATGCTGCAAACTTAGAGGGCAAGGGGAGCTTTGTTGGGAACTATATAAAAATATTCAAATGAATTAAAACAAAACATTTTTATTCTATGTTGAATTGTTTAGTTACTTCATATTTTTGTTGTCAAAAAAAAATATGGTTAAAATATAAAACTATAAGTATGCTATTCCTCTCCAACCTGAGCACTTTGCCTGAAAAAAAATGAGGCTGACATTTGCTTCTATTTTCCACAGAATTAACATTAGTTACTAAACATAAGGTACTAAGCATTAAGTCCCTTAAATAAGACTATATGATGGACCCAAAACTACAGCATAGTATAGGCAAGTGGGAAGGCTCACACAAGCATGTAGGAGGTACATCTGTGACGTGCCACACTGGGTAGTTTCAGGCAAGTTCCTTTGACTCTTATTTGCTTAACCTTCTGAAAATTAGTTTATTAACATCTTGTTTTGAGTTTACAGATATTTTCCATAAAGTCCTTTGCATAATGCCTAGCTCTTTTATGACATTTAACAGTAATTACAGATAATAATAAATCTGAAATGACTCTCTGGGAAACTAACAGATAAATCTAAAATGTGAAAACCACGAATAGCATGGAAGAAATAAAAATAAATCCAAATATGTAAGTTACAAAGTGTACAATACTAATTTTTTCATCAAAATACAAGCGTTGAATGGAACTCTTTGAAGAATCTTTGCAAAAGTTCAAAGTATCACTTCATGGACTTTTAACAAAAGCAACAGAATCCTACAGTTTTCCTAGAATTTGTATTCCCTAGAGAAAAACAAAACTTTTTTCCTACCTACAGAGAAATGAGTTTACAGTCTTAACCATAGCCAAAATATTATGTTGACAACACTAACCATGTAAGGGCAGATGATAAGCCAGCCCAGATTTGGTAACTCAGTTACCCACTTTTTTAAAGCACTCAAGCACTAATCTATAACCCTGCCATCATGAACCATCACTTCAAGTTTTTATTTAAAAAAAATATATATATAAATAAAATATAAAATATAAATATTTATTCACCAAGGACCCAAAAATCCTAGACAGTAGATCCATTTTAATGATTAATCACAGATGGGCACACATAGTTAAAAAGCATGCTTAACTTTTTTACTAGGAATTTCCTTGCAGACCAACTTACAATAAAGATAAAAGTGCTTAATAGCTATTAATTTTCTTTATATGCTGTGACTTGAAATAATTTTCAAAATTAGATTATATGGCCTTTATGATGTTTAAAAGCAAAAGTACATATCTTACATCTATTAAGTGGGTTACACTTTGGCCTGTTTTATTTTTATTCAGCAAAATGTTTCTTAATAAAATTGGTATATTACTTTAACCATCAAAAAAAATGTGCTCTTGTGTATTGCTAAATAGATTTCAAATACTACCTAGGCTTTACTTACAAATGATAAAGAAAAAAGTGTTTTCACTACAATAGTCTACTGGGTAACTAAATTTAGTACTTCAATAAGTAAATTTAATATTCAGAAGTTCACATACTACAGCTAGCCTAATGAAAATATTTCTGGTTGCCTGGAAGAGTCATTATTTCATTATTTTCGTGCCTAGATTTGTTCCATGTTTCCATTTTGTCCAAAAATCTCATTTACTTCTTTCTATATTCCTTTCTCTTAATTTCAACTACCTATACTAAGCAAATATATCTAATTGAATTTAAATGCATCTTTACTCATTCCCATTTAATACAAAAAGTTTGCATTCCTACTACTCGCAATATATATAATTTAATAGTATTCCATATCCATTATCAAAACCAATTAGAGTCACACACAGTAGGCTGGTAATAGTGCTCACATAGGGATAGAACATGCAAAGGCCTTCAAAAAGGATTTTCAAACCTAGATTTCCTGCTTCTCCTGTCTCTATCACAAACTCACTCCAGAGCATCTTTTCTCCTGGGCCTAAATTAGTGCTATGTTGAGATTTGAGGGATCCATTCATAATCTGCCACTGACTTTACCCCTTCCATGACATACATATGCTGTCAAATAATGTATTTGCATATCTCTACATGAAAACCTCTGTTATCTTCTACTTGGCACAATCCTAACAAATACATACCTATATCATATGCCAGGAAATCGGCAGAAAAACATTTTGCACCGTTACTCAAGGAAGTGTCATTATGGGTATTTCCTCCAAAAATAAGCATAGCTCCATTGATAAGAACAGCTGAGTGAAGGTATCTGGCAAACCCACTTTCTTTCAAAATAGTCCTACAGAATAAAATTTAAAAATGTATTACAAAGGATAAAAAGATCTTCCTGATTTTACATAAATATATACCATATAACAGATCTAATTTGCATGTAGAATTTTACCTAATTTTGTAAAAATAAAATGCTATATTTTTTTTAAATGCTATATTTTAACAACTCACAAATGACCACTAAACTTCAATATTTAAAAAATATATATTTTGAGATTCACAGTACTTAAAATTCTTTGAGGAATATATTACTAAACAAAATTGTTAATGATCCGATAATAACTTCTATTTTATTTTTCATTTACAAAAGTAGGAAACAAGTCTCTTTGAAAGCATAATGCCCAAAAATTTTTAAAAATGCAGATTGTTTTTGAGATACATCCATATTGCATATGAATGAAAATCACAATGCATCCTTGAGAAACATTAAAATTAATATATTCTTTAATTAAACTACAATTGTGAAAGAATATAAATACATAATCATAATTGTACCTCATCTCAATGAAATAATATATATTGAAAGTGCATGACAATATGAATAAATACCTTATAAATAATGTAAATAGATGCCCAGCACAAAGAATCAGAATGTAAACGTAGTATAGGTATATCATTAGCAGGATAAATATAGTATCTTTAAAAAAACATGGATTATAAATGAGATGGGAAAAGTCACAAAATGATGTAAAAATAAACTATTATATTATTTAAATATAAACATGATTATAATACCAATTAAAGCATAAAATATATATAGCTGACTTCCAGAATGGCAGCAAGGAGTTCCACAAATACTCCCCCAGGGGAAAGAACTACAATTAGTAAAATAATATTTAAACAGTCTTTTTTAAAGTCTTACAATATTTGACTAAGAATAACAAATAAAGAAATACTTACTCAAGAACACCTACTACCTATCACCGAAACCGCCGGAGTCCATGATCCCTGATCCGTTACCTGCTCCCACCTTCCCACATGTTCACACATGCACACCGACGTGCACACACACACACACACACACAGCTCAGTAAAGTCATAATTTCAATCCCAGGTAAGAAAAGCTAAGTATAAGAAAACCTTCATCCCTCCTAGCCCAGGCCAAGGACATCCAGCCAGGAAGAGCAGCCTGCCAAGACTTCAGGACTCCTAATGCTGGATGGCAGGGGCTCAATTCAAGGAGAAAGCACAACAGGTCTGAATGCTCATTCTCCAGCCCGCTCTAATAGGAGATACACACCAGGCCTAGCAGGCAGAGGACGCAAGAGCCGAAAGTCTTCACTCACTCATAAAACGGAGGCCCCAAGCCAAAAGAACAGGATGAGAAAAGCAAAAGCTACAATTCCCATTCAGCACCCCATGCATACAGCATCAATGCCTTAGTGCCAATTCCGGAGGTACAGACCACAACCCCGACTCACATATGAAAGCAGGGGTACAGAGGTTTCCCCCACAGAGGAGACCGGCAAGCAAGAGACCACATGGGGGAAACCTCAATCCATAATCTGAGTGATGGGATGATGATTATTCATTTGTGAAAACCCATAGACCTACAACACTAATCCTAGTGTAATCTGGAATTTAATATCATGTAGCAATATTACTCCGCACTATTAACAAAAGTACTATACTTCCGCAACATAATAGTAATAAAGGTACTTGGATGAGGAAGATTTGGGGGATATTTTGAAAGTCCATACTCAGATATTTTTCTCTAGAGCTGAAACTGTTTTTAAAAGAAGTTCTTAATTATAAAAAAAAAAAAAAAAAGATTTGGTATTAACAGCCTTCCAAATTTTAAGAGGACTGACATAACAATACCTCAACATTGTCTTGATTTAAATTACCCTGGTTAGTAATAAGGATAAACATATTTTAATATGTACTTTAGCCTTTTAGAAACCCTTTGTGATAAAGTATCTGTTTAAGTCTTGCCCACTTTCTGCATTTTCTTACTTTATTTTTTATTGATTTATAGCATCTGTCTCTAACTTCAGGAAAAATCCTTTTGTGAACTTTTATGTTGCAAATATACAACTCTGAAGTTCACTAATTTTTTTGCTGTTGTTGTTGTTAAAGATTTATTTATTTGTGCATACAGAACTGGGGTACAGGCCAGAGGATGAGGGGCGGCAACAGGCTTCACCAGAGACAGAGTGGGGAGCAGAACAGGCAGATCGACGAAGTACACTGCTGAGGGGAGCAGTGGGCGGGTCAGGAGAGGTCTGCCGCGCCATGTGGTCACCTCCGGGGCAGGTGGGAATCGAACTCATGCGGAAGTGGCTTTAGCTTCTCAGTGCTGTGCTTTAACCCGCTGCGCCACCAGGAGGGCCTGAAGTTCACTATTTTACCAATATTTTCAAATGTAGTTCTCAGTCTTCCATTATTAGTACTTTTTAAATCTTTTTTTAACCAATCATTATTTGCTTTTGCTATGTTTTAAAATATTACCTTCTGTACTTAGATCTACAGTTGACCTGAAACTGATTTCTTGTGTAGTGTGAGGTAGGTCTCAAAATTCATGTTTTCCAATTGTATATCCAATTGGCCCAAAACAGTAAATTAAAAAAAAAAAAAGCTCTGTAATGATAACTTTATTTTAAAGCAAGTGCTCAGCTTGAAGTGTGTATGCCTGTCTGAACTGTTCTTTTTATTACTGCATTGGTCGATTTCCCTACCTGTGCAACAACAATTACAGTACCTTTGTAGGTCAAGAGTGCATATAGAGAAGTTCAACTAAAGCACTATGGGCTTTGGTTAGCCCTCCCCCTGTAATATAAATTTTAAAATAGGCTTGCTAATTTTTAAAAGAAAATAATTACCTGCAACAATTTTGACTGGAATTACATTAAATCTATGAATCAATTTGGGTAGATTAGATATTGGATTTTTTAATCAATCACCATAATGTGTCCTCAACATCATTAGTTCTTCAATTTCTCATAATGTTTTATAGTTTTCTCTGTGAAGACACTACGCACACTACTGCATTTACTCTTTCAGCTGTAGATGCTCTAATGGCAATATAAACAGCATCGCTTTTAAATTATCTTTTCCTAATTACTCCTGGTATACAGAATAACATTGTTTTTGCTTATATTTACCTTCTATCTAGCAACCCATTACTGATTTACATTTTTTATTTTGTTATTTATCTTTAATTGCCTTTTTGAACTAGCTGGGAAATTCCAATAAAATGTTGAATAGATATAGTGATAACACCTTATGTCACCACTAATCTTGGAGAAAATTTTCAACACTATGCTATAAATGTTACAGTAAGATTTTTCTACTTGATTATATTTTTTAACCACATAGTTTGTTTCTACTCCTACTTTTCTGGAGTTTTTATTATATGTTAATTTCATCTAAATTTTTCTCTGCATATTTCAAGTAAACTATATGACTTTACTTCTTTATCCTCCTAATCTATCAATAACCCTGATGCTATGAATTAGTATTCCTTTTATATTCTTAGCTTGAACCCAAATAAACAACTATCTTTTTCAGATATTGTTAGATTTACCAATTTTCTGTATCTGTTTATAAAAAATGAAAACACTATCATTTTCTTTACTTGTAAGATCTCATATATTTTATATCAAGGTTGTGAAAACTCATTAATCTCAAGACAATTACTTTGTTGTCTGAAGGTTTTTGAAGTACTGGTATTATTTATTTCTTAAATATTTGAGCAAGTGTTAGGTTCTTCTTTGTCTTCTTTAGTATGCAATTATTTTTCAATTGAGGTGTTAGTGATTTACAACACATCCTTGAGCTGTCTGTTATACACCACATCCACCACCAGGGCACCCACAGTCCTCCACCAGAGTCCAGTATGACTCCTCCACACTGTGCTATCTTGTCCCTCTCTAGTAGTATCAGTTCTACAGTCAAATTTCTAGTTTTCGTTATTGACTTGTCTTGTTCACCCTTTATTTTGTTTCTCTATAGTCTCCATTTTAGTGAAATGACCCTATGTTTGCTCTCTCCTTTTGACATATTTCACTTAGTACCATCTCCAGTGCCATCATTATTGTCACAAATGGCAAGACCTCATCATTTTTTTTTAATAGCTGAGAAGTATTCAATTGTGGATATATACCACATCTTCCTAACCCATTCATCTGTCCTTGGGCACTTAGGTTGTCTCCATAACTTGGCCATTGTAAACAGTGCTGCAGTGAACATGGGAGTGCACATATCCCTTCAAATTAGTGTTTCTGCATTCTGTGGGTAGGTATCTAGGAGTATAATTTCTGGATCACAAAGAAGAACTCCTTTTAATATTTTGAGAAATCTTAATACTGTTTCCCATAGATAGAGCAGTCTATGTTACCACCACAGTGGAGGAAGGGTCCTTATTGTTATTTCTCAATGAGGTCTTCTCTTTCCACCCTATTTCAAATTGTATGCTTTATCTCCTTCCTTCCTTACTTACTTTGTCTCCACCCAAAAGCACCTATCACCATAAAACTTTGTGTGTATATAACTTATTTTATTAATTCCTATTAGAATACAGGCTGTATGACTACAGTGATTTTTAGATTGATTTTTAAATCATTGTGTCTCTATCATCTAAAATACCCAGAAGCACATGCAGGCATTCAATGAAAATACATTGACTAATTTTTCACAAAGATTGACCACCTTTTCTTAATCACTTCATATTTTTACTAAACACTTCATATTTTCTTTTGTACTCATGAAACTTTCAATTTGTGACTTCTCTTTTATCACTTTTGAAAAAAGTCTTGGTCACTAAGACTTCAAATAGTATTCTACATTCTACTCTTCTGTCTGAACTCCAATCACATGTATGTGAGACAATTTCCATTAAGTATTATATCTCTTTCCCTCTTATTTTTCATTCTGTCTTTTTTGATTTCAGTGTAGACATTTCCTTCAGAACTACCTTCCACTTCATTAATTCTTCCCTCAGCTGTGTCTAATATGATGTTAAATCCATCCAGGAAGTCAATTCATTTAATGTACTTTCATTTGAATCACTCAGAATGTAATTTTCATCCAGTTCTTTGGTGAGCCTTTCCAGTTGCCTACTAGTTTTTCTCATATTTTTTTATGATATTGCATATGACACAGAAGAAATAACTTGAAGCTCTGTATGGTATTATCTTTCTCAAGAGAAGATATACTTTTGCTTATTCTGGATAGTTAGACTATGGGAAGATCACCATAATCCAGTTAAAGACTGTAATGATTAAAAATGGGTTTATCCTCACTAGTCAATTAGAACTTCAGGGACCAAATTAAATCCTTAAGTGTGTTTCAAGGTCCTTCTTCTTTGGAACAATTGGAAACCCAGTTTTTATATTTCACACTGACTGAAGAAGGTGCTTCTCAGTTTCTCAGTTTCCAGGATTCATTTATCTCATGGACAAAGGTGGCACAAAATGCAATCTTATCTCCTTCAACATACTATCTTTTCTATATCTTCACTCACAAATTCCCAATGCTTTGATATTTCTCTGATACTTTAAAATTTGCAGAATCAAAATACTGACATTTAGTGTAACTGGAATACTTGATTTTTCTTAGAGAAGGTATTGTTCAAAATAATTCATTTCACCATCAGGAAAGAATTCCTACAAAGGTCCATATACAATGCCTCAGCAAGTATATTACCTACTAATCTGCATTTAACAACAACAACAACATTTGAAGTCAATTCTGAGGGATAAAAATTGAAAATGAATCTATATAATAAACATGTTAACAGTGACATTTTATAATTATCACATTTGACATTTAATAAACCTGGCACAGATGTATACTACATATATAATTGCAAATTTTAGAAAAGTTAACAAAAATCATCAAAACTTTAATAAATTATAAAGTTTAAGGATAATAGAAAAGTATTTTATTGCTCACTGATAATTTTGCTGTTTTTTAATATAAGACCTATAAATAATAAAGCACCATATGTCTGTATATCTATAATATATTTCCAGTGAGCTGTTCAAAATAAAATACAAATCATTTTATCAACTTTTCCTAACTGAAAAGTATCCAATGTTATCTGTACTTTTAAAAACAATTGCTAAGACTGATAACTATATTCTTATATGTAAAAACTCACAATGGGAGGTTTTTAGGCATATAAAATCCGATCAAATTCTATTCAAGTGGTAAACAACACTCATTCTCACATTTGCCTTTACTGAAATAATTCCCACAGTTCTCTTGCTATTCACACCTACTAGGAAACTTCCTATGGAAGTAAAAGTACTTATTATTACTGTGAACTTTACAGAGCTGTTAGTCTATGGAGCTTTAATATATGCAAAACTATGCCAAGCAGCCTGTGCCTTAATCATGGTACCACAATCCCTTGTTTCCATAGCAAAAACTCAAAAAGAAAAAGTTAGAAATATCAAAATAGGCAATAAAATGAATGTAGTTGAATGAGCAAAAGTGATATAGTCATTGGTATTTGTAAAAACACACTTCTAGTAGACAAAAAAGTAATGAAAAGTAACAAAATCGCCCTAAAATCTTAATTTTTAAAATTCTATCCATCTTTCAAATAAAGTAAAAATTAGTATCTATTTTCAAAAGTAAAACAGGTAGAACAAATCAAGAGAGGATAGAAAACTGTGTTTCAACTTAAATATATAAAACATCTTAATGTAATGTAGAAAGTTTAAAATAATATACATTCTTGAAACAACGATGGAGCCACTTCTACATATTACAAAGGGAAATGAGTACAATAAAGTCATATTTTAAAATTTATATGCCCACATGATCAATAAATGAAAAATTAATGAGTAATATTTCAAATATAAAGACGACATTATGGTTATGTCTAGGCAAGCTGCTAAGCAGGAAACAAAAGCAGCAAATGAGCATGTAAAAAGTGTCTCTTCACAAGAGTAACCAGGGTATTCACACTAAAGTATCAGTAAAATGCCCTTCACAACCATGGCATTAGCAATGTAAAACATCCTCACAATTATCCAGTGCCACTGAAAACATGAAGAAACTCACACTCACTCATGGAATACGATTTACCAGAGTGACATGCAGAGCAATTAAGTAATATCTAAGAGGTGAAGTCATGACTGTCCTCAGTTGGGAAATCCTTACATGAACATATGAGCAGATCAGCACACCACGTACAACACAGTGCTCTTTAGAAAACAAAAAGAAAAACCTACCAAGCTGCCATAAGCTTAGTATTTCTCAGGAAATTAGATGATAAAACTGAAGAAATGCTTCTTAAAAGTTATAAGTGACAATAAAATGAGTGAAAATAAGAAATCCCAGGACAGCTAATATCAAAGCTCAAGTTATACTGGTAACCAAAATTGTTCATCTAAAATGAACATAACATCAGCTCCTTTAAGTAATGAATCAGAAGCCATATTAAGTCAATCATTTATAGTAAAAATGGCTATATAGAAAATGTACTATTTTGTGCCTTTGCTACATAGTAGGTCTTTAGGTAAAATGAAAATGAAACAAGCCAAGTATGTCTCTGATAAAATATTTCATAAGTATCACTATTATATAAATATAACAGACAAATTTTCTCTTTTTCTTACTTTTGCTGAATCTACTCACCAAGTCCTAGTGTTAACTTCATACTTATAAAGATCATCAACCAATCCATATTTATTGCCAGGTAATGCTTTATAGCCTCCATGCACATAAATCGACTTTGTTATTTCATCGTACACACTGGTATGGCCATATCCACCTTGAACAATAGCTCCTTTGGTTTCTGGAACAAGCCAAGTGTTTGATGCTGTAAGAAAAAAAGATAAGTCATAAACTTCAAGTAGTGTTTAAAAATAAAACTAATATATTACCAAACTATAAACAAGCTATAAAAAAGCTATTACCAAACTATAAACAAGCTAATACCTATATTTCATTTACTCAAGAAACTAAATATGTGTAGTTACTGTGCTGGGTGCCAGGGTTGTAATAAGACTGTTCTGTCTATACATTAAACTCTGAAATACTGAAAATGGTCAATTTCGTGTGTGTGCAACAGAAAAGGATAATTTTATTTTTATATACGTCTCTGTATTTTCAACAGCCCTATAAAAAGAATTAGCTGATATTGTACAAGCACCTGCTCTGTAGGTTCTGAGTTCATCACTGATACTACAAAGACATGGCCCTTCTCTTAACCCTGTGGAGCTGCAAGTCTCTTGGTTACGACTCCTATAATTTATTCTTTATTTGAGTAAAATTGGTTTATAATATTGCACGTGATTTAAGAGGTATGATTCTTATGATTTAATTATTATTAAGGGGAAATTTCTATTAAAAATTCCTAATTTCCACCACCTAACATCTGTTATGTAAATTATCAGATATCAGTTTACTAAAAAGCAATGTCCCAAGACATTGTCTCAATCTTAAGAATAATCTTGAAATTGGTCTCAAAATTTTGACAAAAAAGGAAATTTACAAGGTAATGAGAAGAGACAGCCGCTAAGAACCACTATACTTGGGGGGGGGGGGGATTACCTTTCTGAAAAATCACATCTAATGGTTTTTAAATCAAAAGAAAAAAGTTAACATAAAATGACATTAATAATGGCTTCCCAACTACACCTCTCAAATTCTCAAGGCATGAAAAATACTAAAGCAAAACATTAATATTACACTAACCTTGAAACTCACATTGAGATTCTTAAGAGTTTATGAGGTATTGCTAAGCTAAAGTGAAATAAATTTCCCTCAGGACTAACCGAGAAGAGCTTTATGGTCCAAGTTAGTAAAACCATCCACACAAGTCCCTTCTGAGAGTTAGATTCCCGAAAAGTCATAATTCTAAGTATGGCAAAAAGGACAAACTGATGTTCCCTTTACTGCCAGAGCAAATCCATAGAAATCTTTCAAGCCTCAGTTCAAATACATAACCTATATAACCAACTATGAAGAAAAATGCATCTACTTCCTCTATTTTTCAGCACATTTTAAAATTGATTTCAAAGGCACAAACAAGTTGTATGAATAAGCAATGGATTCCCATCCACCCATCACTCAGGTTCACTAATTGCTAACATACTGCCCCATTTATTTTATGCTTCTTTATCATTGCACCGGTTTTCACATTTTGTTTTCTTCCTTTTCCTTTTGATTTTTTTTAATATATAAGTAATCAATGTGCTTCTCAAGACGAAACGTTTCTAGAAGTCAAACTACTTTTGCAACGTAAACTCAGAAGTCCACTCTCATTTGCTCCACACTGATCGCTTGAAACTAATCAGCAACGCTCCTTCTGGCGTTCCTTTTGCTTATATAAAAAGGTATATTTTCCAATTTCCCTGACCTCTTTATACAAAAAGTGGCACAGGAGTTAAAGCACAGCACTATGAAGCTGTCCACAGCCACTGCAGCATGAGTTCTATTAGCCTCCAGGAAGCCGACCCACAAGTCACAGCAGACCTCTCGTCTCCCCGCTGCTCCCCTCAGCAGTGTATTTCAGTCAATCTGCTTGTTCTACCTCTCACTCTGTCTCTGATGAATTCTCTCAACCCACTCATCTCTGACAGGTACCTCAGTTCTTGTAAACATAAATTAAAAAATAAGTAAGTAAATCTTTAAAAAAAAAGTAGTAATGAGATGTCATTATCATATGTAATGTTTGGGTGGCTACAGCTGTCCTCACTGTATCCACTCCTCCAGTAAATCTTTCATCATTTGTTCTTTTTTTTTCCTTTAAAGATTTATTTATGCATACGGAACTGGGTTACAGGTCAGAGGTGCAGCGGGTAAGAAAATTCAACAGAGACGGAGTGGGGAGCAGAACAGGTGGATCCACCGAAATACACTGCTGAGGGGAGCAGCAGGCGGGTCAGGAGAGGTCTGCCACGCCATGTGGGTCAGCTCCCCGTCAGGGAATTAAACTCATGCTGCAGCGGCTTCAGAGAAATTCACAGTGCAGTGCTTTAACCTGTTGCACCACCAGGGAGAGCCCCATCAACTGTTCTTTTCTAAACCTTCTGAATTAATTTGTTTCAGACATAACTTCCATGTGCACCACAGAGTTCGGTTTCACTTTATAACCAATTTGAAAATATTGTTTCTTAACAGGCAAGTTAATCTCATTCATATTGACTGGCAAGATTTTGTTGGGTCTCAAATATCACATTTTGGTTTTTTAAATTATGTTTTATTGTACCAGTTTATTTTTACATCATTCTGTGCCTTTTTCCATCTCAGTTGTAACCACCGTAGGCTTCCCATCATCAAATCACCCGTGTGCCATCACCATAGTCCCATGCACTTCTCCTCCCCATTTTTGATCCCATTCCCCACCCCACCCCTGTAAAATGTCTCTGGTATACAGTTGTTCATTATTGTTATTTTTTTCCCTCTGGTCCTTTATGCTCCTGCTATGAGTGAAACATCCGGTATTTTACTTCTTCTTGCTGGCTTATTTCACTAAGCATGATCCCTTCCAGCTCCATCCATATTGCTGCAAAAGGCATGTGTTTATCTTTTTGATTGCTGAGTAATATTCCACTGTGTGTATATATATCACATCTTTTTAATCCAGTCATCTACATTTGGGCATTTGGGTTGACTCCACATCTTCCCTTGTAAATAGAGCAGCAATAAACATGGGGGTTGCAGGTGTCCTTTTGGATTGATGTTTTTGTGTCCTTTTGGTACATACCTTGGAGTAGGATTGCTGGGTCATATGGAAGTTCCATTTTTAGCAGTTTAAGGAACCTCCAAACAGTTTTCCATAGTGGTTACACTAGTTTGCCTTCCCAACAGCAGTGCAGGCGAGTTCCTTTTTCTCCACATCCTCGCCAACATCAAATATCACATTTTGTTTTAATTGCTGTGTGTGTATTATAAGTTTTTACCAGTTTATTTTCCAGTTTTCCATAGTGTTGACTAGTTTGCATTCCCACTAGCAGTGCAGGAGAGTTTCCTTTTCTCCGCATCCTCGCCAACATCAATTGCTGTGTGTATTATAAGTTTTTACCAGTTTATTTTCCTATTCAATATTTTTTTTCTTATGGTATTTAGAAAAGTTTATCACTTGTGTCTATGTCCTTTGTGTTTCCACCTTTCATAGTAGCTTAATTGTATGAAAAATACCAAATTCTCAACTATGTTCAATAAAAGCTAAAAGTGGTCTATAAGCTGGGACCAAGGACTTTACAGAAGAAACCAAGGACTTAGAAGGGGCACTGAACAAGAAAATTGAAAAATGATGATATGCTGCACCATATCATCAACCTTCGAAGCAATTTGTTTTCCCATTAATTTAAAACATAAATGCTCAAAATATGCTTAAGGTTAATATATAGTTGATGAGTAATGAGTTACTAGAGCAGCAACATTATTTAAAGTATAGGAAAAATAAGAACATAAAGTCCCACCATGTACTACAGATTTTTAAAAGGGTCTAATAGATTTCCTTCAGTAATTACGGATAAAGTACTTCCTTCTATACATTTTTAAATAAGTAAAAGTTCTCTTTGTTTTCCAAAGACTACTGAGAAAGAATAAAACAAGTCTTCACAGACAAGCCTTCACAGGAGAATTTAAGAAGAGAAACTAAAAATTCAAAATTGAGTACAACAGACCTTTATGGTTCACCAAGGCTACTATTTCCTAGCCTGCAACAGTCCTGATGGGTTTTTCTGCTTTCCCTTTTCTCCTCTCCCTTATCCCATTTTTAATTGCTTTCTTTCTGAGCAAAATACATAACATTTGCATAATACAAGTCTACCAACATCTCCAGCCCTGTTCATTCCTACCCCTAACATTAAATACAGGAAATGTCCTCCATTCATTTTTTTTTTACCTGAAGTGTTCCATTCATCTTTTCATTTAATGCAGATCTTTCTCTAAGAGAGGAGCTGGCAAAGAACAGCCACAGATCAAATGCAGCCCACCAGCTGTTTTGTAAAGCAAGTTTGTCTTTTATACAGCTATTTGTATATAGCTTCAAAGGCATGACCTATAAACCCTGAATTATTTCCTACCTAGACTTTTACCAAAATAACTTCTGCAACAGTGGAGAGCTTCTACAACAGTGGATTTTTCAGTAAGGGCATGCATATACAAAATTACCTGAGTTTTACCAGACTCACATTGCTTTGTTCTATAAACTTGACATCTAGTGGACAGTTTAACATGATATAAAACTCTTAATCTAGTCTTTTTCTTAATGTCACTGCTTTATAAAATATTTTTATTAAAAAACACTGTACAATAACATATACAGGTACGTAAATCAACATATGAAGGTCACCATTTATGTCCTTGACTATTCAACTGACCCATTTAACCCACCACAGTCCTTCCCCTTCTAATAACCACTAACATAGTTCTCTATTCTCAAGTTATATTTTGGTGTCACTTAGTTCATTTGTTTGGTTTCTCTATGATTTATTTCTTTGAGTTTCCTAAAAATGCTCTTCTTGGTTACCTTGATTTGTGTGTTGCTTTTGAGAAATCTGACGCTACTCCAATATTTTGCCACAAATTAGAAAACTACTGTTTTCACAAATTACTCTGTTTTAATTTCAACTTTTTGTTTTTCAGTCACCCTGCCATATTGCTAGCTAAAGAGAGCGTCCCCTCTCTCTTACATCAAGTTTTTATTTTTCTGGAAGTCTTAAGTATAAAAGGGTACTCAAAACCAGCCTTCATTTGGATAGTTGATGTCATTAAAACAAGTCAGGGGAAAAAAGAGCCTGAACTGACATCACAGTACATGACATAATACCTCTTTAGTCATGTTAAAGCAGACCCACTTAACATAGCCTCATTTCCTGAAGTAGCCTTTGTCCACAGTACAGAGAATTCAATGCCTAACAACTTTAAACTACATTAAGCCACAATTTTATATTCTCTTCTTTTTAAGTACTTTTCAAAGTTAAAGTACTTATGGATTACTTTTGACACCATATACTTTCAGCAATAACCTGTAAATTCAAAATGCCTTAGTAGCAAATAAGTCAATTTTCTTATTAAGATGTATAACATTACAAAAGTTGATGAATTTCATTTTTACTTAAATAATTCACAGAATGTAAATAAAACTGATCATCTACTATTCTTACGAAACTCATAAATTATCCTTATTTATATTTTATACTACATTCATAAGTGTACCTGACAAGAAATACAACTAATAAAAAAAACTAACCAAAAATACTCTGTTGACAAGTTTATTTAGAATTGTGATTTTGTTATAATTCAAATAATACCCTACAGAAACTTTAAAATTTAAACTTTAAAATATCAGAACTACAACTGATATTCTGTAATCAATTATTCCAAATGAATACAAAAACTACCAGCCAATGAATTGATCACTTAACAACTTATAACATTTCTTTTCATCAATAAAAGGTTGGCAGTAACCCCATACACCTTTCTGGCCATCCATGAAAAGCTTATCAAACACCATATATCATGATTGAATGAAACTATCCTCCAATGAAGGAAAACATGAAGGGCAAAATACATTACGAATTACAAACTATTATATTCAGTGGGGTAGTGGAGGAGGGAGCTCACAGACTAGTCAGGTGGCCTAGAGATTCGATTTTAACAGCCAGTACTGAAGGTAAGACCATGTAGGCATTGGATCTGAGAGCTTCTATGTCAAGTTGGGATGCCTTCTGGGTCATACCTTTAATTTTTAAAGTTTTTTTAATTTGCTCTGTACAGACAGATAAAATAATGTCTATTTCGACTTTGGCTCCATTTGGAGGGAAAAACAGTTCCCTCTGGGAACTTTTTGTCATAGTCTAGACTTTATGGCCCATTTGGGACAGGAATTCACCCTACAAGCAAAATTCAGATAAAGCACATGCCAAATTTTTTATTTCATTTGCACCAAGTTTGCTAGAACCCAGAAATACATTCACTCTCTCTACACCAGACTTAGCAAACAAAAACTGGAAGGCTAAATCTGGAACACAGCCACACCCATTTATGTACTGACTGTGGCTAATTTCAAGCTGCAATAGTACAAGTGATTAATTGTGACAGTGATTCATTTTGCCCAAAAAGTCTAAAAAAAACCGTACTATCTGGACCTTCTTAGAAAACACTGATAGGTCCTGCCTGGTGGTGTAATGGGTTAAAGCACAGCACTACACTAAAAAGCTAAAGCCACTTCAGCATGAGTCCAATCCCCACCCCGGAGGTGACTACATGAGCAGCAGACCTCTCCTGACCTGCCTGCTGCTCCCCTCAGCAGTGTACTTCGTAGATCTGGCTATTCTGTTCCCCACTCTGTCTCTAGTGAATCCTCTCACCACTCCTGCACCTCTGGCCTGTACCCCAGCTCTGTAAGCATAAATAAATAAATCTTAAAAAAAAAAAAAAGAAAAGAAAACATTGATGGCAGTCCGTAAACTGGTCTGAGAGTAAAAGTTCTGGTTAACTTCAGCTTGAGTTAAGTATTCGTTTCAAAACTTCAAGAGTCAAAATCTGGCCTTCACTTCCACTTGAGTTCAATCCCCGCCTGCCCCAGAGGTGACCACAGGGTGCGTCAGACCTCTCCTGACCCGCCCGCTGCTCCCCTCAGCAGTGTACTTCGTGTGTACTTTGTCAATGGGCCTGTTCTGCTCCCCACTCTGCCTCTGGTGAATCCACTCACCGCCCCTGCATTTCTGACCTGTATGCCAGTTCTGTATGCACAAATAAAATAAATCTTTAAAAAAAAAAAGAGTAAAAAGCTATGATTCAAGAGCAAAGCATGGTGATAGTTTAATTCTCAGCCTTCCTGTACTCCTTAGGAAAGACATACAAAACGATAAAGAAAATAGGGGGGGAGAAGAGTGCAATGAAAGGAAAGAAAAAGAAAATTAAATTTTCAGAGAAACATGGAATGAAAAATATCTACCACTCCAAATCAAGTGTGGATTCACAAAAAAAGCAATTGAAACAAGAAAGCCAGACAGGGGAAGCTCACGAAAGGAGAAAGGAGCTCACTAGACAAAGAACATGGAGAACACCTAACTTGGCATATCTCAGAAATACCACACTTATTCCTGCAGAAAAATGGGCCTCACCCTCCCTAAATGTGAGAAGAACTATAAGTGAAAACAAAACAGTGATTTTCAAAAAGATAAAACATGTACAGAAAAAGTACAAAAAAGAGAAAGGACCATAAAACAAACCTCTACTTCCTATATACACAGAGCACATTTAACACACAATGCTTCTGGAAGGTTAATGACAAAGGAGTGAACAAAAGTGTACCAGGAAAAGACTCACTCCCCCCCCAAAAAAGCAAGGACATAATGTTAATATCAGATAAGGCTGACGTCAGGTCAAAAAAAAAAAAAAAAAAACATGAAACAAGCAAATTACTTTATGACATTAAAAGGTACAAAATTTAAGAAAGATATAACAATTATGACTATCCATAACAGACCTTCCTTTATAAAGCACAAATGCCAGAATGTCCAAGGAAAAAATAGAATATAAAATTTTCTATTTCATTCAATTTTCAGAGTTATGATAGATCAAGTACAGAAAACAATAATAATAATAAAACTATAAGTTTTCATATGATCAATAAGGAGGGTCTGACAGATACACATGGCCATATTATAGAATCTATGCCCTTTCAAGTGGCTATAGAATATTTATGAAAATTGAGCCAAAAAAAAATCACAATAAGCCAAAAAGCAGAAATAATACCAATATTTCCTGAAAGCTATAAAATCAAATTAATATCAAAATAAAATAAATTTCTACATAGAAAACTTCTAACTCTTGGCCCATCTGAAAAGTGAAGAGAACTCACTCCCATTTGTATCAGTGGCCTCATGAGTTTGTTACAATGTGTGTGGACGGGTTTACTCAAAGTAGGATTGCATTGGTCTCATCAGCAAAAGTTCTCTTTATGTTACTTTTACTTTTTCTGGAAAATAAGGTGATCAGCTGAGACTAATGATGAAGATAGTGTCATAAATTTGAAGAGGGAGGAAAGTGTATAAAATCAACCTCCCAGAGAGTCAGAAGGAGACTGGCCAACTTGAAGCTGGGGAGCTGGGGGGTTGGAAGTCTGGACCAGAGAGAGAGAGGAAGAGAGACGGACGGCAGGTTCCCAGGACTCGAGGTCTGGAAGGCTGAGGAGTGTCAGACTGGGTACTAGAAAGGGTACTGAGAAGATGGTCACATCTGAGGAATAAGCTCTGTGACAAGGACATTATGGCATTCACGGCAAGCGCACAAGTTCAAGAGCATGGCTTCAGAGCTGGGCGATCTTAAGAAGGAAGAAGAGAGAGCAGCGGAAGCGGGGACAGGAAGGAAGGAGGACACATGTCCCACACTGAGCCTGGCGGTATGGGGAGGACACAGACGACTGAAGGTCTTGAGCAAATAGCAGGGCGTGTAGAAGAGGGGGCTCCCTCCCAGCACACAGCAGTCTCTCGTTGCCGCTGCAAATGAGTTTTCCCACAATGACGCCACAGGACTCTAACGAGACGTATACAGTTGCCTGTGCACCAACAAGCCACAGATTTGAGCTCATGGCACTGGCCACACTCTGCAATGGAGTGTGCCCGTGAATCTAAACAGCAACCAGAGGGCTTATATTTGTAGACAAATCTTTTAAAAAGTGTTCTATAATGGGCCCTCCCTGTGGCACAGCAGGTTAAAGCCCACACTGCAAGCTGGCTGCAGCCGCTTCAGTGCCACTTGGACCCAGACCCCAGAGATGACCCATGTGACGCGGCAGACCTCTCCTGTGTCCCGCTGCTCCCCTCAGCAGTGGACTTCGTCGACCTGCCTGTTCTGCTCCCCACTCTGTCTCTGGTGAATCCTCTCACCACCCCTGTACCTCTGGCCCATACCCCCGTTCTCTATGCACAAATAAATAAATAATCCCCCCAAAAAAGTGTTCTATAACAATTTGAAAATGTCATAAAGAACTCAAAAAATAAAGGACCATGAAACAAAGACACATAGTTAAGAGTGTAAACACAGAAAGTCACATGCAGACGCTCAGTCTCCTTCACACACCACACCGCAGTCCTCTGCACTAGGCTGGAAAGCTTCCTTGTGGAGCACTCCCTGCGGAGGGGAGCCGCACCAGGCAAGGAACAAGCTTCTGAAAAGGAAAAACCTGCAACCATGGAATTCACAGGGAAGAGGCTGCCCCATCTTTAGTTCTCGGTTTGTACGTAAATCCAAAGAAACAGCACCATCTATTGGAATTCCTCTTACTTTAAAAAAGTCTCCATTTCTGGGAAATGCGAGCTGGCATATGAAAACATTTCCTCTCGTGTGGTACTAAGCATACGAAATCTACACAACTCCAGAAATTTACGTTCAAAATGAGAAAATCTTGGCTTATGATTTCAAGTCACTCTCCCTCGACTGACTTCTCATGAAGACTTTATTCAAGATAAAAATAGTCTCAACCGATAAGTGTGGGTAATGACATTTTCAAAGAAACTCACAGATGTGGTACTCCTGGGTGCTGCTGGTGTACCCATATATGGCGGAATAGCCAAAGATGATGATCATGACAACGTCCCTGCTGTCCAGCTCCAGGATGTGGGCCGAATGCCCCTCGACCGCATACTGCTGCCCGTGCCCAAGTACCGTGGGCGACTTTGTACTCCACGACTGGCTGTGTATGTTGAAGACCCATAATTCATCCGTGACATTGCCATTGTTCGTCTCAATTCTGCCTCCATACATAAAGATGTTTTCCTATAAATTAAAAACCATGTTCATAGACAAATATTTATTCCTTAGCAGTACATACTAATGAAAAATAAAAACTGGGCCCTCCCTGGTGGCGCTACAGGTTGAAGTGCAGCACTGCAGGTGAGCCGCAGCCACTTCATTGAGAGTTCAATCCCCAGGCCCGGAGGTGACCCACATGGCATGGCAGACCTCTCCTGACTCGCCCACTGCTCCTCTCCGCAGTGTACTTCAGTCACTCTGCCTGTTCTGCTCCCCACTCTGTCTCTGGTGAAGCCTCTCACTGCCCCTGCACCTCTGGCCTGTACCCCAGTTCTGTGTACATAAATAAATCTTTAAAAAAAAAAAAGCTAAATGGAAACAGTGAGTGTTAATAAGCCCTCACAACATGCAAGAGGACATTGTTCTTGTTTGTAAAAGTCAAATGGGAAACCATGAATAATGGTAATTAATGTTTTTACTTAAAAGAAGGGGGGAGATGTTAAATGTATTTTATTTAAACGGTTATATCAATTTACCACATTTTAATAATCCTCGTTGCACCCCTAGCTGTTGCATTTGAATTTACCATGTATGTAGACTGTGTTGTGCTCTCCTCGTAATTCACTGCTTTCATTCAGGCACTATTCAACAGAAAGATAAACTACATTTGTGCATCACGTGGACTACATTTTTATTGCCACTTTCTCATAGCAACTGGCAGAAATTTTACAGCACTTATAAATTATAAAAATAACTTCAATCACATGATTGAAATCAATGATATGTAAATGATATAAATCATTTGTTCCAACAACCTAGGGACGTAATGGAGTTTCTTCAACCTAATAAAGAGCATCTGAAAAAAACACAAGGCTAATCTATTTAATGGTTAAATACAGATGCTTCCCCACTAACGTCAGGCGCAAGATGAAGACACTCACTTTTGCCACTTATATTCAAAAATAAATATAAACATGTACATACGGTCCTAAGAAATTAAAAAAAAAAATGGAGCCAATAAATAAGTCAGCACAAAGAAAAAAACTATCACTAAAGCAAAAAGAAACCCTTCTGGATGAAAGTATTTGCACATCATACACCTAACAAGGGGCTGAGCTCCAAGATCTGTAAACACACACACATAACTAGACAGGAAGAAAACTAAGAATCCAATCCAAGAATGAACAGAAGAGCTAAATAGACTCTTCTCCAAAGAAGACACACAGATGGCCACCAGGCAGGTCAAACATTGCTCCACATCACTTAAAAGGGAAATCCAAATCAAACCCTCACGAGATACCATTATCTCTGGGATACAGCCGTTACAAACGTCCAGAAACAAGTGTGGAAAAATCAGCGTTGATGAGAACGAGGAGGAACTAGAACCCTCGCACTGTTCACGAGGATGTAAGAGAGTATGCTGCCTCGGAAGACAGCACAGCAGTCCTTCAAAACACTGAAAAGAGAATTACCACAGGCGAAGCAGCTCTTCTGGCCATACTCCCGAGTAAGTGACAGCAGAGAGAACAAACAGGGAGTTACGCACCCATGCTCACAGCAGTGTTACTCGGAATAGTCAAAAAGGTAAAAGTATCCCAAGATCTCTCAATGGATAAACAAAATGTAATAGACACAATCAGTGGCACTTCGTTCAGGCATAAAAAGAAAGGAAATTCTGAAACAAGCCTCAGAACAGATGAACCTGGGGAACATTTTGCTTAGGGAAATAAGGCAGTCACTAAGTAAGTCAAACAAATACTGTGTATGAGCGACCTAGAGTAGTAAAATCCAAGTGACGGAAAATAGAATGATAGTTGCCAGGAAATGTGGAATTATTATTTAGTGGGTGTAGAATTTCAGTTTTGCAAGATAAAAAAGTGGATCACAGACGAAACAGCAGCCTTCACTTCTTCTGATGTTTAATTGTACTAAAACCAATTTTTTTTTTACTAAAATAGTGTATAAGTCTGACATCTCAAGTTATTAATGTTCCATATGATCTACTGTTCTCATTAAGTACTTGAAATAAATCTGACATTTAATATCTTTTCTCTAGAAAAGAGATGATTAAAATTAAAAAAGCAGGGCCTCCCTGCTGAAGGAGGGGTTAAAAGCTCAGGCTATCAAGCTCTCACCAGCCACTGCAGACTGAGTTCGATCCCCACCAGGGAGCTGAGGTGCAGCTCCTGTCTCCCTGCTGCTACCCTCAGCAGTGCACTTAAGTAGATCCACCTGTTCTGCTCCCCACTCTGCCTCTGGTGAATTCTCTCACCCCCAGCACTTCTCACCCCCAGCATACACCCCAGTTCTTATATGCATAAATAAATAAAATAAATCTTCTTTTAAAAATGTAAAATTAGGATCCATACCTGATATAAGGCAAGAGAGTGTCCATATCTCTGAAGGGGTCCCCTTGACAGTGTTCCCACATTCCATATACTGCTTTCTAGGTTGTAACTGAAAGCAAGAATAGAAAATAATTCATAAATAAAATTCATTTCCAGTTTAACTTTCATATTATAAGAGTGCTAAAGCAACTCTTTTACACACAGCACACTTTTTAAATTTCCAAATTAGCAAGCTTAACATACTCTAATAGATAAGACTGCCAGGTAAAATACAGCATGCCCATTTAAATGTGAATTTCAAATAAATTTTTAGAATAAGCAAGGTATATAAAACATTTGCAATAATAACAACAATATATATACATATATATACATATATATGTATATATATATATATATATATATATATATATATATATATATCAAGGACCTAATTTCAACCAATACTACTTACACTAAAAAATTATTCACGGTTCCTCTGAAGTTCAACCCTAGCTGGGCATCCGTATTTTAACTGGGTGTCTTATCGATCTACTAAATCCCTGGAGGTACAATCTACTGAGGCACATTGTGCAAAATCAGCTTTGAATGGTTCATGTCCATGCTACACAAGTTATATTACATGTTATGAATCTCACTCCTAAGAACACTGATAATTAAATTCTTCTTCCTATTTCATGTTTATTCTGTTATCGGATAGTTCATAAAATACAATCAGCAGCTGAGAAAATCAAGTAAGCTGCCATCCACATGATTCCCTTGTCCTGTCACCACACAGAGAACTCTCTCTACTGAGCCAACAGTAACTAAATGAACTGACTCGCAATACTGGCGCTGGCCTGCCATCTGCCAACAGAAGCTTGTGAAGTAAATGCACCAATGAAAGTTCATTCAGGTGAACTAATATATAGAGAACAAACCAAGTATTTCCATATAAGCAATTACACTTCATTCTGAAAAAAGAAAAAAGAGGCAAGATTCGTAATGGCCAAAATAAACATGGCCTGCCCTTATTGGAAGCTAGTGTGTTCTTACTCGGAATTTACTGAAAGCACTCTAAAGAACTAAAGAAATGCTTTTATAAAACAAACCTATGTGTAAAATGGCAAATAATTAACCAGAAATACATTCAGTGTATAAAACCCCAAACCAGTCCCACACAACAAACAGATAAAAATAGTCATTTGTAAATTTCAACAGTAATAAAATAAGGCATGTATGATAGTGTTATTATGAAAAAATAATCCAGCTTAAAAAAAGTAGTGTAAAATTCTGAAGGAAAAAAAAAATACTTACTTCAGAACCATTTGAAAAGAACTATAATTAAAAGTATATCCACCAATCACCCACATAAATTTCCCATGTAAAACAGCTTTATGGGAAGCCCGACCTACGGAAGGGCTGAAGGGTTTAACATTTGGCAGAATCCAGTAAGACTCAGTAGAAGGAACATTTAAAGAACAATCAGGACCTGTGTTAAAAAAAAAAAATTAACTCACATACTGCATGAAATAAAGTCCTTAAATTATAGAAATAGACAAGCTGATTAATATATGGATCAGTATACATCATACTAATAAGTGCAATATACATAATAAAGCATTTAAAATATAATTTGCAGCCGGTAAGCCTTACAAGGAAAATATATACTTTATCATACAGATAGATTAAATAATTTCAGTTTGAAACAATCACTTAAATAATGCAACTTCAAATTTACTTTAGTAAATGCTACTAGAATATTAAAATGAAAAACGATGTGCTCAAATCCAAGTTCTGTCATTTATTAAAAGTGTGATCTTATGCAATTCCATTTACCTCTCCATCATTCTTAAGAAATCTATTTTCATCAAATTTGTGGGTTCCCAAATTAGTTTTATTCTAATGAAACTATATAATGCTCAAACACAAACTACACATAACTGTCTTTCATATATATGTCCAGCAAAAAATTACATATAAAAAATGTAAAGCAAATCTATAAAACCATTAACTTGTACTATATATATATATGTAGGTATATATGTATATATATATGTATGTTATGTGTGTATATATATATATATATATACACACACACACACACACATAAAACCAGTAAAATTAATGTTTACTTAATTAGATAGGTAGATAATGTTTTGCTCAAACTAAACCATCATACCAAAGTTGAACATGATATTCTTAGAGAACCATTTTTATAAACTTCATGTGTCTATATTATTTTGACATCCTAATTCTCCCCTACCTTTCTTCCCTCTTACATACTTTTTAAATTCACATACTATGTCACATCATCATTTGACATTCTGTTGTCACAAAAGCATCAGTAAAGTTCAACAATATTCTCACTCACCTGTGATATGGTACACTGCTTGATTCCACAGCAATAGTTAATGACTATTGCTGGCACTGCAATAAAGTGGCATATTTTTTTCTCAATTATGAGGTCAATCAGTGGATCTTAAATTTTACGACATCAAAATTTTTCAAGTTATCATTGAATCACAAAAAAAAAAATTTTTTTTAAAGATTTATTTGTGCATACAGAACTGGGGTACAGGCCAGAGATGTGGGGGCGATGACAGGATTCACCAGTGACAGAGTGGGGAGCAGAACAGGCCAACTGACGAAGTCCACCACAGAGGGGAGCAGCGGGCAGGTCGGGAGAGGTCTGTCGTGCCATGTTTGTCACCTGCGGGGCAGGTGAGGATCGAACTCATGCTGAAGAGGCTTTCGCTTCTTAGTGCTGCGCTTTAACCCACTGCGCCACCAGGGAGGGCCTGAGTCACAAAGTTTTAATATTTCCAAACAGACCCTGATTTAAGAAACAAGGGCCTACTCTGTTTTCATTTGTTTATTTACTCTCTTTCCCCTATACATTCATTCATTCATCTACAACATCCTTGTCAATGTTTACATTCTGCGATTCTGTATTTATCAGGAACAAAGTACGTAGTTCCCTAGAGTAGCTATTTGATAATAACCCAATCTTTTAAATCAGGTATTAAAAAAGAGTATTCTGAGTGAAAAGATGACTACTCATACCCTGACAGAAATAAAAGGAACACAAAATGTTAAAGATGGGAGATGAAAATCCTGTTCTTAACTTTAATAGAAATGAATTATTCACTGCATTCTCTGATTTTTTTCATTTATTATGTCTATGATTCATCAAACTTACTGAAATTATTACATATGTACCAACCAACCTCCACATATATAAGAAGATAATTTCTTTATTGTGAAATCTCTGGTATATAAAGTATAAGGTATTTTGGGTCATAAAAAACACAGAAAAAAAACCCATTTTGATTTCCAAAAAGCTGTATATAATAAATACAAGTATTTGCATATTTTGCAAACATATGTTCTAATGAAACTTGTAAATTTTTACTAGTCCAAAAACTAGAAAATTTTACTCAATTTAAATTTCCTTTCTATGACTAGTAGTAATATTGAATAGCTTTTTATAAATTTGTTGATTACAATAACCTCCCCCCAAAAAGAAAGAATTGAAGGAACACACTGCTTTTTTAAAAATTTAAACTACAATTCTAAGTCACTTAGAATTCATTTAAGTGAGGTTGGCAAACAGCCCATGACCAAAATACAGTTCACTACCATATTTTGAAAATAAAATCTTTTTAGAACACAGTATGTTAATTCACCTAAATACTGTCTAAGGCCGCTTTTGAACTACTCAGGCACAAGGCTGAGTAGATGCCAGAGGTCATGTGGCCTGCAACATCAGTAACATTTACCACTACATGGTCCTTTACCAAAAAAGTTTGCCACCTTTCAATTTAATTAAATAGAAACAAGATCCTATGAACTTTACATATATCTATGGTATGGGGTTTATATCTTGTTTTCTTTACAAAAATGTAGATTTTTAATTATATGGCAGGAATAATAGGGAGTATAAAACGTCAACAGTGGATAAAGGGCATTTGACTATTCTGCCTATTGTTCTTATTCTTGCAACTCTTCTATAAGTTGAAATGTTTTCTAAATATTTTTTTAAACTTCTACCCCCTAAAAGAACAGAGATGGAAGACATCAAATATCAGGATATCACTTGGCAAAGAGTCTGTTAAAGAATAAAGGCACACAGAACTCTTAAGAGAGTCAGGAAACATAATTAAATCGGCTATATTTATGAAACCTACACTAAAGCAGACCACTTCAGAGAAAGTGAATAATGCCCCTCCGAGACATCCAGGTACGAGCCACTGGAACACCTGCATGTCATCTTACCTGACATCAGAGACCTTGCAGATAAAATTAAATTAGGGATTGTGAGTTGGGGTTTTATCTTGGATTATCCAACTGGGCTCTGCATAAGCACACAAGTGTCCTTATTTGAGAAGATGGAACTACCCGCAGCTGTGACCACCAAGGAGACAACAGGGGCCTCCAGGTGGGGAAGGCAAGGACCCCGGCTCTCAACGCCTCCAGAAGGCCAGCGCCCCTCACCAATGCAGGCCCAGGGAAACCCACTTCAGCCTTCTAACCCTCAGGAAGGTAAGAGATTCATGAAAGCATGCTGGCTTGACACGCTGATTTGTAGAGCTTTGTTAGGGCAGTTAGAGGAAACTTAATAATAACAGCTATAATTAGGATTCACTTATTTAAACTAAACAATGTTACTTAGTATAAGAACAATTCTAAAGATTTTTGTTAGATTTTACTCTGTCATCCAAAGAATTGGTCTACACAAAATATATTAGGCAGTCAAAATTCATCCTTTGTTACCATTCTGTTATATAACTCCAAGCAAGTATTAGGTCTGTAGCCAAGCCCTCCATAGATTATTTCATTTAAGTTAACAAATTTGTGGGTAAAAATAGTTTATAAATAAAAATGATTTATACATATAAATTAGAAGTATAGGAAAAATAAGAAGCCTTAAATTGCAGTTTTCTGCATTCTATAAAATGATTAAAAATATAATAAACTGGAATTTAAAACACAGCCATAAGGAATACTTTATACAAGTCTTCACTATTTATTAAAAATCTAATACTGAGATCGACATTTAAAGTCATCCAAGCCTCCTTTTTAGACAATATGTCCTGGAAAAATCTTGGTCCACTTCATCATCTGGCCCTTTCTGCAGCATTTGTGTGGACTCACTGCGTAACTTCTCTCGATCAATATGGGAATCTCCTCAAGGTAAGCAGATCTCAGCTGCCTTGAAAGGATGTAATAAACTACCTCACATTACAGCAGGTTTTCATAAAGATTTAATATGCTACTTTTTCTAGAGGTTATGTGTAGTTTAATAACCCAGAGAGCATATTGAATTTCTAATGCTGGAACTTCAGGCACTGGAGACAGGCTGCTGAGAGGCAGATTTTGCAAAGGAGGAAAAGGCTGTTCAATAATCATGCAGAATAGATTATTCTCTAATCCCTCCAAAATGTAATGTCCATCTCCATAATCTCTTAAATTCCAGACTCAAAATCAACTGACCTTATGACATTTCCATTTGGACGTCTAATAATCGTATCAAACTCGACACATCTAACAGGAAAAACTTGATTCCTTCCCCCATTCCCCCCACACACACCCCTTCCCCACCTCCTCCCAGTCTGCCCCTTCAGTGTTGACCATCAGTGTCTTCCTACAGCTAGACATGGGCAGGCTTCACAGAGGGCTGGTAAGCAGATGCTGTGCAAGGACTCCCCTCTGAGCTCCCCCCTCACTGTCTCCCCATGCCCCCAGATAATTCAGCCCTGTCCACAAAAGCAACGCCCTGCAACCATGGCTCAACCCAGATTCTGCCATACCCTAAGCTCACCATCCATCAGTGTGTGTCTCGCCAATTACATTCGAGAATTTTATCCATACATACCAGAGCACAGCCACGCCTTTGCAATTACCTTTCTTTTACAAGTCACCATCCGCTTTCACCTGGATTACTGCAAGTCTACAAATTGTGCAGAGCACAGAATAGTCCATGATATCACCCACAGACCAGTCCAACATTTTATTCTCTCTACACTCACTTCCCTGCAGATCTTACCCCATCTCATGGCTTTAAATACTACCAACAATTTCCAGTATTTTTAAGCCAACACCCCCAAATGCACAGCTAGAGTACACACCTTTCTCTACTAATTTCCAACTACCTCTTCAACATTTCTTCTCAGCTGTCTAAAAGAAGGCTCAGTCTTAATATTTCAAAATCAAACTGATGTTCACACTACCACCTTCATCATTCTCCTTGCAGCTGTAATTACAGCTGTCAGCTCTGCTTGTGCAGTCTAGAAGTGGAATCTTTTAAAACTGGGTAAGACTGTATCAACCCCCTGCTCAAAATTTTTTCACTTGTTCCCACGCACTTAGACTAAAAGTCAAAATCCTTAGAGTGGCCTGGTAGGTGAAGGCTTAGCTGGCGTGGCCAGTGTTAACATCCTGCACCACCCCAACAACCCCGTACGTCCACATCCCAGTCATCTCTGTAACCACTCTGAGATCACATCTTTTATATAGTCAATTATATTGTCTACTTATTAGAAATTAAAAACATTATTGGCTCTTATAAAAGTCCTACCTGCTGGTTTGCTAGGTAGGAAGAATTAGCTAAAAAAGAAGGACTTAATGCAGGACATTACTTACTTGCATCTCTGCAAAGTTAAAAGAGTTATGTCCATTATCAATAAATTTCTAAAGAAAAATATCAGCTATCCTTTGAATGTCCTCCAATTGGCCAACACGCTCTCATGCACCTATACACTATCCTAAAGAAACTATATTCTATTAGATGAATAAAGAAAAAGAAATACATTAGGATAAAATATCCAAGAGTTTGAAGTAAAGCTTTACCACTTTAATGAACATGGAGGTTGTTTTCTGTGGATAATATTGCCACCCAGTGGCAAACATGGAAGTATAACACCAAAGGGGTGGAGAAATACAAAGGTCTAAGTACCAGATGCTCAAATTCAATTGTTTCTCTCAATATATTATGCATTTCCTATCAAGTAAAGTCAATCATTTATTTGGGTACTGACGTTCTAAACAGCCACACTTGAAAGTCCACATAGCGCTAGACCAGCAGACTCACACATGCCTAATCCACTCAACATAAAAAGAAAAAACGTGAACTACATGCACGCATTATAATTAAAACATAATCACCTTCATTGCATGGAGCTTATACTGTAGTAGGAAAGACAGTCCAAAAATTATATAAACATAAATGTTATAAATGCTGTTATTAAAAATGTAGGGTCCGCCCTCCCTGGTGACGCCATGGATAAGGACGCAGCACTGCAAGCTGGCCGCAGCTGCTTCAGTGTGAGTTCCATCTCCGCCCTGGAGGTGACCCACAGGGCGCGGCAGACTTCGCCTGACCAGCCCACTGCTCCCCTCAGCAGTGTACTTTGTTGATCTGTCTCTGGTGAATCCTCTCACCACCCCTGCACCTCTGGCCTGTACCCCAGTTCTGTATGCATAAATAAATAAATCTGTAAAAAAAAAAAAAAAGTAGGGTCCTATGAAAGCACCTAAGAGGGGGTGTGAGCCGGCCTGAGAAAGTCTCAGAAGGGAAATTCAGAAATAAGAAAGACCTTGAAGTACTTAAGGACAAAGAGCATGCAAGAAACTGAAGTCCAACTGAAGTGTGACTTTAAATAGTCAAAGGCACCAAACAAAACTACTGAATCACATGATTTACATATTCAGATATTATCTTTTAAGCAACAAAAATTTTTAAAAATCAATTCCAATTCTTATATGAGAACTGTGTCTGAAATGGGTGACAAACAGTACTGAAAACATAACTTTTTTTTTCTAGGTAAGAAATTTTTAACACATTTCCTAAAATGCATTCAGTCTGGTAATTAAAACATTCTCTAGACTGCTGAAATGAGATGAAGACAAATAGCAACTGAAGATTGGCATGAAAAACACTGTGCCTCTAACATAAGATGCACTTCTAGTTCTCAGGCTTGAATTAAATATATTCTTAGGTTGCTATTCTCTCCATAGAAAACACTATTATTTTTAAAAGGTTAGACTAAAGTGAGAAAAAAAAAAACTTAAGGTACACTTTACAGGAAGGAAAGTCACAAATTATTGAATCAGCCACTTAACAAAAATACATGCCCCACTTTAATTAGAGAACATTAAGAAATTTCTATCTGTCATAATTATAATAGGAAAGCAAATTCAATACGGAATCAATAGTACTTTGTGTGGTTAGAATAACTTTTTTAAATGAGGTACACCTAGTATAATTTATACGAAACCCAAAATAATTCCTCTAAATAACCTCTATAATTAACCACTTTTTAAAAAAGATACCTCAAGAATGATCACTGTGTCGGGAGCACATTCTTTTAGCTTTTATTTAGACAGGTTTTATAGGACCCACTGCTACACTGTGTTATGTAGTTACTGTGTAACTACAAATAATGTATTTCTTGAGTCAAAGTTTCCTCTATCAAGATGGTTAATATTTTTGGACAAAGAAAGTTCTTAATATGTAATTATAGTTATCACAAAATAAGGACTGGGATGGGTAATGAATAATTACACCTATCCATTTACTCCCACAATAACAAAATGTGCCATTTCACACGCAAAACTTACAGTAAATTCTTCAATTAATATGTGATTAATTTTAGTGACATATACTTATAAAAATTGTTTAGAAATTCTTTCCCAAGCATCTTATTTTTTCAAGACAGTTAAAATAGTCTTTCTTTTTTTATGTACTTCTAAAAATAACCACAAGAGGACAGTCTTTTGCCAGAAATAAATTTAAGGTACTGTAGCGCCTTACAAGATAAAAAAAAAAAATGTACCTATGCAACATGCTATTGATGTTATCCATTAAAAATCAATTCTGAATAAATCATGTTAGATTCAACAGTCATTAAATATTTGTTGATTTAAAGAATTACAGATGATCATAATGACACAACTACAACTTAAAAAGCCTCAGGTGTCACTGCTGGTGCAAGGAGTGAAAGCACAGCACTATGAAGCGAACTGCAGCCAGTGCAGCAAGAGATTGATCCCTGGCCAGCAGACCTCTCCTATCCCACCTGCTGCTCCCCTCAGCAGTGTATTTCACTCAGTCTACCTGTTTTACTCTCCACTCTGTCTCTGGTGAATCCTCTAACCAACCCTACTCGTCCCACCCCATATCTCTGGCCTGTACCTTAGTTCTTGAATGCATGAATAAATAAATCTTTAAAAAGAAATAAAGATCTTTATATATAATTTCAGTTGATTCTGAAAACACATAGAAAAAGCTACCAATTTTCTTTGTGAACAAACTGTTAAGAAGGTGATTTAGTACAAAACATAGAGTACAAGAGGCTTGAGTGTGCAAGCTATAATAAATGTTTGCAGGATATTACAAATCTGTTAGACACAGTCACTGAGCTGAAAGCCATTAGTAATGCTGCAAACTTACCTTGCCAACTGTCATTGCAGACACACAATTTCTCTCCAGTGAGGTCACAGTAGCCATGGTCTGGGCTGCCACAGTTGGCTTTACAGTAAGGGATGTCACAAGCTTCACCCTTCCAGTATTTATCACATTCACAATATACTTGACTTGGAGCAGAGATACTAGTTGTACATTTCCCATGGCCAGAGCAATTGTTAGGACAGGAGTTGATTCTGTAAAACATAACCCACCTATATTCAAATTCAAAATAATTGGAAAAGAATTTTGGTTGATTATTTTAGAAATTTCAATTTCTAAGTTGTGCCTCATGTGCTTCATTTTAATACATTTTCACCTGGATTTAATCCTCTATTCTGTACTCTTTTAGCTCCAAAGCAGGTCAGTTACATTTATGCTCACATGGCCTACTTTACACAGTGAGGACACTGTGCTACCAGGTAGAACCCCCCAACCCCACACACCTGCTTCTTTTCCGGCAAGCTCAATTTGCCACCAAACATCCTGAGACTCAGAAAGTGCTCTATTAAGAACAATTATTAAGATGAAGTCCTGTATATCTTGAAATTTAACACACTCGCCTGCTCACGGTAAGACATGAGTTAAAACTATCAAACTTTGGAAGTGAAATTATAAAAATCATACCAATGTGAAATAAGAAAAAAAAACTTACGAATAAAAAATGTTGAAACCAGTTAGATTATATGCGGCATCACTAAAAAAATGCAACAGTGCATAGCCAGATGTCGTCACAACTTCAGGAACAGTTTCATTTCCCCTGATTTCAGGGACAATCAAACCACTACAAGAGAGCAAAGTTGAACCATTACACCTACGAATGTACACACAGAACACACACACTCCCGTCAGAAAGTGTGACAAAGAAGAACAAATCCAAGCTGAGTTGCCACCCAATCAGTCCTAACATGGCTGGCAACAGTTGACATCTCCCCTCGCCACGTTCTTTTTTTCTCACCACTGGGGTAAGTGTCTTATTTGTCCTGTATGTCCTGCTGCTTGTGTGTCATGACACTGCAGGTGGCCCAGCCTTTAACAGTAGGCACGCCTTCGCTAGAGCCACTGTGGCCTCTCACAAGTGAGTGACCGTACAGTCTTACTTTCTCCCATGATGGCAAATTCTGATGAACCCACCGGTGACGGGGTAACAAGGGCAGTCAAGCATACCTTGACTCGGCATTGTAGGTCAGTCATCCAAAACTATGAGTGTTTATAGCTCTTTAAAGTTTTGCATACGTACAGGTCCTCTCTGGTGGTGCAACAGGTTAAAACAGAGCACGAGGAAGCTACCTGCAGTACGAGTTCAATGCCCAGCCCAGGATGTGACTCACAGGGTGCAGCAGGCCTCTCCTGCTTCACCCGCTGCTCCCCTCAGCAGTGTATTTCAGTATATCTGCCTGTTCTGCTCCCCACTCTGTCTCTGGTGAATTCTCTCACCCCTTCATCTCTGACCTATACCCTATTTCTTATATACATAAAATAAATACTCAAAAATAAAATTGTGCATACTTACACACAAATTACATTAATGTACCCCAAAAGAAAATGTTACCCATCTAAGCACACACACAGCTAAAAGAAAGTTAACATTGTGGGGCTAAAATGTAAATGCAAACACACTCTCAAAAGCAAACATATTAAAAAGTAATCAACTCTTAATGCTTTGCTAGTTATTCTATCTGCTAGTTTAAATGTGTGAAGAGTAAAAAATTGCCAAAGGAAACTGTCAACAGAATTCATATTTTATAATACCAGATTTTGTTACACATATTTTTCATTGTAGTACGACTATATCAAATTAAGTGCAAGGCTAACATATTTCCAAATCTCAATAATCAATCACTAAAATAGATAAAAAGAGCATATTCGTTGGTTAGTGTCATAAAGGCAATAAAATAAAGAGGGTTTCAATTTCTTACACAACACAGCAAGCAATGTGGACCAAGCAACCCTCCACTGAAGTCAACAAATAAAATAACAAATTTCATAAAAACAAGAAAGTAGGCCAGTGCCGGAGAAGTAGGAACCCAAGCACCAGTCACTGCCCCTTGCAGGAATCCTGATTTCAAAGTTGGAGGTGCAGTATGAAGGACTGGGAACATGGGGTTTTCAACATTGCTAGGGAAACAGAAAGTGGAACCCAAACCCAGTGATTAGGGAGTAAAGTGAACTAGTGAAGACAAGCTTTGGGAGTGGGGGTTTACAATCAGTGTGGGTGTGAATCACCTCAAATCCACCTGACTACTGCCTGCTAATACCCTAACACCCCAGGAATGTACACCCTGCAGGAATATAGTACCTTTCCAGACCTTTAATTATTGCTGCAAAGGACTTGCAAACATGATAAGCTGCACACAATAAAAAGTAATAACTTCTCCATTCCAATCAATTCTCGACATCTAAAGAAGTCTTGCCAACACCATAGAGTAATAAAGTCCAGCTGTTTTAGTGTGGTACACACAAGACAACATCACTGCATTGATGAAGGAACTATAAACCTGAGGTCTTGTTCTAACTATGACTTACAAACAGGGTAGCTGCGGACCATTCAGAGATTCTGTATCTCATTTCTCCATTTTGGAAACAGCCATGATGATATCTAACTAAGGGTTACTGTCAGCATTAATCACTGTGACCAATGAGTCCGTGAACAGTGCCTGTACCATAAAACCCAGTGAAAGCGTGGGCATGTGCAGCCTGGGTAACCCTATGGCCGGTGGGACACACTCACATATTGCCAGGGAAGTGCAATGCCAAGGACACAGATGCTTCTGTGGGTGCCTCCTGAACCTCATCTTCCACGTCTCTCCAGTCAGCTGCTGCTGGCTTTGATCCTTTATAATAAAGCTATGACCATAAGCCGAGTGTAATTTCTACAAGTCATTCCAAGTCATAGCTGAGGGATAGCATGCACCCCTGAATTTGTAGCCAGCTAGTCAGAAGTAGGGTTAGCCTGGAGCCCCAGGACCTGCAGCTGGTGTCTTAAGTGAGGGCAGTCTCAGGGAGCATGGGGCATATTAGCTGGAAGCTGGGCCCAAGCCCGGGTAGCTGGTATGAGCAGCCCTGAGAGCCTGTCTTAGCCTGACCAGATCCTCCAGACAGATAACAGTCTGGAATTGTGTAGGTTATCAACTCTTTGTTGAATGATCCATAATTATAAAGTGGAATAATTCAAACATTTAGAATGTGAATTCTTAGTAAAGTTAAGTACAATAGGCTTTTAATGCAGGAGAATGTCTAATTCTAATTCCAGCTCTACCATCTTTGCAAGTAAAACTTAACTTCTCTGAGATTCTCAACCATGCTCTGGAGATAACAATACTTCCACAAGATCTTGGGAGGATGAGATGACATTCAAAATGCTGAGGACAAGGCTTACCCAATAAACACTAGAATAAACACAGCTCCCTCAGAATAGCAAAATGGAACACTTGCTAGTGAAAATCCCTGGTTCCAGCCTCCCAGCCACATACCAAAGCCCTCTTGCTGATTTCTTACCAAAGTTTCACTATATTATGAAGAGAAGATTGGTTAGTATTGGTGGTACAAGAAGGTAATTCTCAGCACTATGAATCTATCCATAGCCCAAGTTCCATCCCCAGCCAGGGAGCTGACCACATGGGGTGGCAGACCTCTCCTGTCCTGCCTGCTGCTCCCCTCACCAATGTATTTCAGTAAATCTGCCTGTTCTGCTCCCCACTCTCTCTCTGGTGAATCCTCTCACCTCCTGTACCTCTGGTCTGTTCCCCAGTTCTTGTATGCATGAATAAATACATCTTTTAAAAAAAGTGATAAGGGATCACTATTAATTAATGCAAAGTTATTACAACTACATGAAAAGGCACATATCTAAATGATGGTTAATAAATAGCATCATAATAGAGAAGTGGTATTTCAATTGCTAGAAGTAAATGTATAAACCCGTATCCAGTCACCACAGTGGAACGCTTCACAGAGACATTACCTACAGCTTTTCCACTTCTAGCATCCTTAGATGAAGGCCATCATGGCTACCCTTCACATAATGTTCAAACAATTCATAAGCTCTAACAGTATTTTAAGCAATAGTAGTAACACAGAATCAGTATCTAAGCACCTAAGGAATCATTTCAAAATAGATAACTGGAAATACAAGTCCTTAGCATGCTTGCCAATGAAAAATGTAGTCCACACTGCTGGTAAAAAAAAAAAAATTGCAGGATAAAGAGTAAAAAGAAAATTAAAATTTTGAAGGGAACAATAAGCTGTTATCGGTATTTGAGAATTTAATAATGACACAAGATGTAAGAGATGCTGTGTAAATAACAAAAGCAAGAAATAGATGAGTAACTCAAACAATCATGCCGATTAGACTACACTAAATCACCACTCTATGGTCATGAGATTTTCTATATCTAACATTCTACCTCCTATTCATAAAAATATTTTAACATTTTGCACATAAATATATTTTAAATGACGGTTAAGATGCTGTGATTATAAAAGTAAGTCTGTCTGACTACTCAGTATTTTAAGAAAACTAAAATTCACAAATTTTGAGAACTGAAACATCTTTATGAAATTATTACATAAAGCACAACTTATACATTTTTATGAAACCTTAAATTTTGTCAATCCTCTAAAATAAACACCACTATAAAATACATTATTCACCTTTTAGTCAGCTAGAACACACATTGCTACATTCAAATAGGTAGCTCCCAAACATTTACTTTAAAAGAATAATTTACAATGATAATAAAGGATATTTATTAAGAAATCTATATTTCTGATGCAGTGTTTATTTATCTTTGCTATATCAATAGTACATTATTGTATACATCTAAGTTGATAGTCCCAGTAAGACACAGTATTATAACAATATAACAATCTGAAATGTAGACATCAATATCTCTGCAAAATTAATTTTGAAGTACAGATCAGTGTATGTATTTAAAATATAGTTTTCTACTATTGACTATAAGTTCATCAATTAAACACAAATACTCACCTAAGTACAGCTATTAAAGGTGCATATATTGAATCTCCATCATAAACATACATGTGATCCCAGCTACATTCTGTGGCGAAATGATTGAATCTTAATCTTAACACTGCATTTGGACTGGAAAAAAATATTAAAATATTTCTCCTTAATTGGTAATGTCCCAAGTATTTTATTAAAAACTTATTACAAATAATTTTGCTGCAAATCCTAAAACACTTGAATAAAAGATTGATAAGTAACCCTATCTATTTTGGAAAAGTGACATGAAACTTCAAAAGGTATCAAGAAGCCTACATACTGTCATTTTCTAATAAAGTACTCCACAGGAAAAGTTCTTGACTAAGATGAAAGTTACAGTTTATTGAAACCTTACTGAACTATACACTTAGCAGAGGTGCATGCAAGCTATGCTTATATAAAGTTTATTTTTAAGATTCAACACTCCAGAAGCATTACTCTCACTGCTACAGAATTCTTAACTGAAGGCAGTACAAGGCCTTCCAAAGGCCTCACTATCATGTACTTTTAACACAGAAACAAAATGAGGTCATAGGTACATTATGAATTAATAGCTGTCAAGTTCTCAAATACTGCTAAAATAACACACCCAAAAACCCAGAGTTTTCCCTAAGCACTTTTAAAATCTTAACTGGTTCTCAAAAATTCACATGAATTCATCTATGATCCATTCACAGTATGTTTAGATGATTCAGGATGGTGTCCTAATTACTGAAAAACACCTCTAAAAGACAGTTAATTCCTTTACAAAATGTTGTTTTTTTAGCACCCTTAAAACTACAATACTGGATAGTATGAACCAATGGCATAATTTGACATTGAAGATATTTATATTTTCCATGGAATCTTCAAGTCCATAACAAGCTGTTTAAAACAAATAAAAAATGTTTAACTTCTTACTATAGTAAGGTAACTAAAAAATAGAATCTCTGTAAAAATTAAACTCCTATCACAAGTGATAATTCATATTAAACAAGATATCAAAAAAGTTGCAAATTCCATAAAATATGTTATTTTCCCATAACAAATTACTGAATCAACTATATAAAAGTTGTTAAGCCTCAGTGTTTTAACACCAATATGAGCATCTTTATCGTTTCAGAATAAAATAAATTCAACCCAAATTGTATACTTACTAGCCTTCAATTAGCCATGTACATTTAGTTTTATATTTATAGTTAATTGGACCATCTGTTAAATATCCTGAAGGTTCTGTTAGCCTAGAAGACAAAATCATGAAAATAATTACTTTAAAGTAACTTTAGACCTGCAGTAGCATTAAAAAAAAATTAAACAGACATTAAATCAAAGCAATGGAATGCTGCAATTTTCAAAATTATTTTTACAACTTAAGAAAAAATTTGAATTGTCATAGATCTCCCTACATTCCAAAATAAATTCATCTTGGGCATCTTTAAGGCTTCCTATCTTTTGATTTCTTTATTTTTCCCAGTGGGAAAAAGAATAAAACAACGCTAGAAGACTGAGCATTGTACCAATGGGCTCCATGTTGACCAAAAAAAAAAAAAAAAAAAAGATCAGGGTAAATTTCCTACAAAGATTAAGTGAAGGCAAAATTTAGGCAGATCAAATGCATTTCGAAAGAGGCAGCTATATGAAGCAGAGATCATATATACATGCCATGTCTGGGAGTTAGATGATTAGCTACACTAGTTTGTCACACAGCAGGATCACAACAGTACCTGTCACAATGCTTTACTGAGCTCAACTACCTGCTTTAAATACCCCTTCCTCTGCTCTACTTCATACACCTTCTCCATGAACTCAATCAAATTTTAAAATAGGGTAAAAAAGCCAAAGGTGTTAAGAACAAAGGTTCTATGTTACACATAAAAAGTAAAAAGAAGGTCTCCTCCTGGTGTCACAACAGGTTAAACCACCGCATTATGAAGCTGTTCACAGCCACTGCAGCACAAGTTCAATCCCTGGCCAGGGAGCTGACCCACCCGGCACAGCAGACCTCTCCTGACCCGCCCGCTGCTCCACTCAGCAGTGCATTTCAGTAGATCTGCCTGTTCTGCTCCCCACTCTCTCTCTGGTGAATCTTCTCACCCACCACTCCTCTGGCCTGTACCCCAGTTCTGTATGCATAAATAAATAAATCTTAAAAAAAAAAGTAAAAAGAAAACTACAAAAACTTGACAGTGTAAAAACATTTGAAGCAAGAAGATCCCAGATCCACTTCAATCTGTTTTCCTTATCTCCAGTCCAATTATTTTATAAAAAACACTATATTTTAATTAGCTGAAATAGCTTTCCATCCTTTATCTATCTATGTATGCATATATACACATTACCGCACACAACATACACTCAGATTCAGGTCAGAGCCATCTTCATGTATTCATATATACACATATATAGATGTGTATAAACATAAATACACATGCATATCAGGGTCATTACCTAGTTTTAGAAAAAAAATTAAATTTTCTTTATAGGACAGAGCCTGGAAAACGTTAGGAAAGTAAGTTTCATTTGTATAAACTTAGGTAAACAGAAAGGTCAGTCAATATAAATACTACTTGTAAGTCTTCCAGGATCCCTACAAACTACTTTAAGAAACAAGAAGTTAATTCATGCTTAGAAAACATTGTGAAAAGCAGCAAATCCCAGTGATCTCAAATCAATATGATATAAATGGCACATTTTCTATGTGTCAGGTACTACTGCAAGGGCATCATGTGTTACCTCATTTCAAAAACCCCAGGAGAGTGGTTACTAATCCCATATTACAGAGGAGAAAATAGAAGCGCCATTTAAATAACCTCCTGATGTTTCACTTCCATGCAGTCATTCCAGACTAACCCTCCACAAAGACAACTAAAAAAGCGAAGGGGGGCCCTCCCTGGTGGCGCAGGGGGTTAAAGCACAGCACTAAGAAGCTTAAACCACTTCCGCATGAGTTCGATCCCCGCTTGCCCTAGAGGAGATCCACATGGCGCGGCAGACCCCTCCTGACCCACCCGCTGCTCCCCTCAGCAGTGGACTTCGTCATCTGCCTGTTCTGCTCCCCACTCTGTCTCTGGTGAATCCTCTCACCCTCCACATCTCTGGCCTATACCCCAGTTCTGTACAAATAAATAAATAAATCTTAAAAAAAAAAAAAAGTGAAGAGACAACTTTTACATCTTAAAGCATCTTCTAAGTAATAAAATGGCAAGACGCACAGGTCTAAATCCAGAAGTTGCAACTTCTTTAAGAGGAGCCGGGCACTGAGAGCTGCTCTTGCTCTGAAGACATTTGTCTGTTTGAAAGACCAACAAAAGGCTCAGGCTTTGACAGCCTCCAGATGGGAAGGGAACAAAAGCTGGGGTTTGCCCACAAAAGGTCGGGGCTCAAATAGACGGCCTAGCTCCTGAATCAGGACAGTGATTCGTAAGGGTGAGGATGTAACAGAAGCTGCCAGCCTTTCCACGGCCTGCAATGGCAGAAAACCCCAGAACTTCAGCTGCCTAAGGGATACTGGAGCTGCCAGTAGCCTAACAGAATGCATAGTTACCTTCTAGAAAAAGAGCGCGTGGCCTCAGCGAGGTTAGTGTGGAGACAGTCTAGGCTGCCTCCTACTCATTTTACAATTAAATCCCTCTTACACAGAGATAACCACCCCGGAACAAAAACAAGTGACTACTGTGTGCATCAAGAGCCGTGGAAGGCAAAGGGGCCAGGGAGGCTGCAATTAAAGTGTGTCTGGGGCCCCCCTCCGTGGCACAATGGTTGGAGCACAACAGTAGAAAGCTATAAAGTGGTCCGAAGCCACTGCAGCATGAGTTCGATCCCCGGCCAGGGAACTGACCCCCATGGCGCGGCAGACCTCTCCTGACCCGCCCGCTGCTCCCCTCAGCAGTGTACTTCAGTGGACCTGCCTGTGGTGTTCCCCAATAAGTCTCTGGTCCACCATTGCTAAGTCATGGGCACACCCCCAGGCCAGGACTTTAAAGCCCAGGAACTGTACTGGAAAAGGGAGGATGTGGCGTCAGCACCCAGGATCGAGGGTGCATCACTGAAGAACTGTAAATGTAAGGGTGCAGGGCAGTGACTGTGGACTTGAGCCTATGGCCCCCCAACATGAACAGCTGAAATCTCATGAACGGCAGGGAGAGCCAGAGCAGACTGCCATGTCTCCTTACAGATGGGGCTAGAATTTGCCGTCTGAAACACTGACATGCATATCATAGGTCCTAACCGCCCCCTCCAACTACCCCCCACATACATACACACTTCTACACAGACACGCACAAACACATTCACGCTCACATGCTGGCCCAAAGCCGAGATACCACCAAATAAGCAGTTTGAAACCCTGGATCTTAGCAGAAGCAGCTGCCCCAGGTTAGGGTTTCCCATTCACAAAGCGGAGCATGAATTCCTGGCTTGTGGCCCGGCCTCAGCTATGATCACTCCAGCTCCGACACTGTACCTACCGGTGGGCTACAACTCGGGAGGCTGGCATGAGACTGTGCCAGGCACAGAGGGCTTCAGGCTAAGGCACAGAGTCACCACAGAGCCCATCATGCATCTTGCATACCCGTGGGCCTGTGAGTAGTATGTACCCCTGGCGTTTGGTGCCCTTCTGCTCAGTGCCTACCTACTGCCCTTTCTCAGTACCAGCACCAGGCTCCCACAGTCCATGATGGCCGGGAGCCTGCAGCTGCCAACTGTCCCCCACCCCAAGCAATTCCGAGAGGCCCCTGTGAGACAATGCCGGGGAACAGCGTTCCCGGGCCTCCTGTAAGGTAACCATGGCGAGTTCCTGGGAGCAGATGTCAAGCAAGCTCTCCCAGCGAGCACAATAGCAATTCCTCGGCCATCCAGAAGTCACAGACATGCCCTCCCAGCAGCCGGGACCTTGGATGAGGATGTGGGGCCCCTGCTGTCTTAGACTAGGATGGTGGAGGCTGTGGCTACACTAGTTCATGTTCTTCAGGGTTCACTTCTTACTAGCCAATCCCTCACTCCCCTAGTCCGTCATGCCAACGCTTCTTGACATTAAACTTTTCCTATTAAAATTAATGTGCGCCAGCAATCCCACTCCTAGGTATCTACCCAAAAGACACAAAAACACTGATTCAAAAAAGACACCTGAGCCCCTATGTTTACTGTTGCTTTATTTACAATTGGAAAGACATGGAAACAGCCCAAATACCCAAAAGTGGATGACTGGATTAAAAAGATGTGGTACATATACGCAATGGAATATTACTCAGCAACCAAAAAAAAAATAAACTCATGCTTTTTGCAGCAACATGGTAGGAGCTGGAAGGGATCATGCTTAGTGAAATAAGGCAGAAACAAAAGGAAAATACCGATGGTTTCACTCATAGCAGGAGTATAAAGGATCAGGGGAGAAAATATTAATAAGAATGGACAACTATATACCAGAGACATTGTTTGGGGGTGGAGTGGGGAGTGGGGTCAAAAACGTGGGGGAGGGAAGTGCACTGGACTATGGTGATGGCACACGGGTGATTTGGTGATGGGAAGCCCAAGAGGATTACAATTAAGATGAAAAAAAGCACAAAATGATGTAAAAATAAGCTATTATATTAAATTTTTAAAAGGAACAGTACTAAACCTCTTTTAAAAATTAATGTGTGATACACTCTTTTCTGATTAGGCCCCAAATCAATCAATAACAATAACCAAGGATATGGAAAAATGAAATCTCACTGCTAAAATCAAAAGAATTGATACTATCGAATACTGGTGAGCATGAGGAGAAATGGAATGAGTCAGCAAGACGTCAGCAAGACGGTGTGAAGTAGCTGGTACCGTCCTGAATTGCTCAGACAGACACATCGCTGGGGCAGTGAGCAGCCCGGCTACCCTGAGACGCGGGAGCCCTCACCGCCCCCTCAGCACACCTGCAACTCTGTTGAAGGGCTCCCCCTTGGTTGCCGGAGCCCTCTTTTCTGTAATGGGTTAAAAGTGGCTAGGAATCAACAGCCTCCTGGAGACCATCCTTAGTCAATGAATGGTTTCATGAAAGAATCTAAGTACCCCAAGCTACCTGACCTCCCAAGCTACCTGGCCTCCCTGACAGAATGGACATCTCTCCCCAACACTGGGATGAAGCTCCAGCCAAGCACCAAGGATGCTACACCTCTCTCTTCTCCGTCCACTGCAGTCAGAGCCCATGCACCTCCCAAAGATCCCAGGCACAGGATCCACTTCAGAGTGGGGGGGAGGGTCCTCAGAA